TGTATGACTGATGCTTACTTTTATATAGTACCAATTGTTTACTTGTTCATTTTAACATGCCTATAATTGTATTAGTCAATTATTTACTTGTTCATTTGAACATGTGTAATTGTATTAGATTTGACATGAAATCTCAAAATTTACACTGCTTTACTTGTGTGCTTGACATCGATGCCTCCATGCATGTCCTATTAATACAAATTTGTTTGAGGTTATCTATGCTTACTAAGCCTTAGGATTTTTTTTGGCCAAATCTCTAGTTTCTGTTTTTGTATTGCAAATAGTCAATTATCTTTCAAGTTGTGATGCTATTTGTGTTTTTGTTGTATATAGGCTAATATGTTCAATGCTCATGCTCTAAGCGTCATTCATTTCTTATGCTGAGTATTTGTTTAATTCTAATGTTTTTTGCTTTAATGGCATGCCTAATATGTGAAATTTTGTTGATTCTAACAAGGTTTTACTGCTTGGTCTGATTCATAATTGTAACATGACTATCTTTGGACTATTTCTAAATTTCTAAATATTATGCTGCTGAAGTGTGAATTCATATGCTATATACTCCTTTAATTGGCTATGCAAGCATTTCAACTCTTCTGTAAATTTGCTGCTGACCATTCCATTTTCTGTTAGAAATACACTATGCTAATATGTTATGTGTTCCTTGCAGGCAAGTCCACGCTTACAGATTCCCTTGTGGCAGCTGCTGGGATTATTGCCCAGGAAGTTGCTGGTGATGTTCGCATGACTGATACCCGTGCAGATGAAGCTGAGCGTGGTATTACAATCAAGTCCACTGGCATCTCTCTTTTCTACGAGATGAGTGATGAATCACTCAAGTTATACAAGGGCGAGAGAGACGGAAATGAGTACCTGATCAACCTTATTGATTCACCTGGGCACGTTGATTTTTCTTCGGAGGTCACTGCTGCTCTTCGTATTACTGATGGTGCTTTGGTGGTTGTTGACTGTATTGAGGGTGTCTGTGTGCAAACTGAAACTGTGCTCCGCCAAGCTCTTGGTGAGAGGATTAGGCCTGTCCTTACTGTGAACAAGATGGACAGGTGCTTCCTTGAGCTTCAAGTCGAAGGTGAGGAGGCGTATCAGACCTTTTCCCGTGTCATTGAGAATGCCAATGTCATTATGGCAACATATGAAGACACGCTCCTTGGTGATGTCCAAGTTTACCCTGAGAAGGGAACTGTTGCTTTCTCTGCTGGTTTGCATGGCTGGGCTTTCACACTCTCAAGCTTTGCTAAGATGTATGCTTCCAAGTTTGGAGTTGATGAATCTAAGATGATGGAGAGGCTTTGGGGTGAGAACTTCTTTGACCCGGCCACAAAGAAGTGGACCAACAAGAGCACTGGCTCAGCTACCTGCAAAAGAGGTTTCGTTCAGTTCTGTTATGAGCCAATCAAGCAAATCATCAACACTTGCATGAATGACCAGAAGGACAAGTTGTGGCCTATGCTGCAGAAGCTTGGTGTGGTCATGAAGGCTGATGAGAAGGATCTTATGGGCAAGGCTCTCATGAAGCGTGTTATGCAAACTTGGCTGCCAGCCAGTAATGCACTTCTTGAGATGATGATATACCACCTTCCATCTCCTTCGAAGGCCCAGAAGTACCGTGTGGAGAATCTGTACGAGGGTCCTCTTGATGATGTCTATGCAACTGCTATCAGGAACTGTGATCCGGAAGGTCCTCTCATGCTGTATGTTTCCAAGATGATTCCAGCATCAGACAAAGGTAGATTCTTTGCCTTTGGCCGTGTCTTCTCTGGGAGGGTTGCAACTGGCATGAAGGTGCGTATTATGGGTCCCAACTATGTCCCTGGCCAGAAGAAGGATCTGTATGTGAAGAGTGTCCAGCGTACTGTTATCTGGATGGGAAAGAAACAAGAGTCTGTTGAGGATGTTCCTTGTGGTAACACTGTCGCTATGGTCGGTCTGGATCAGTTCATCACAAAGAATGCCACCCTAACAAATGAGAAGGAAGCTGATGCCTGCCCAATCAGAGCAATGAAGTTCTCAGTGTCCCCAGTTGTGCGTGTTGCTGTTCAGTGCAAGGTTGCATCTGATCTTCCCAAGCTTGTTGAAGGTTTAAAGCGTCTGGCAAAGTCTGATCCTATGGTCCTCTGTACCATTGAGGAGTCCGGTGAGCATATCATTGCTGGAGCTGGAGAGCTTCACCTTGAAATCTGCTTGAAGGATCTACAGGAAGACTTCATGGGTGGTGCTGAGATTATTGTTTCCCCTCCTGTTGTCTCCTTCCGTGAGACTGTTCTTGAGAAGTCCTGCCGTACAGTTATGAGCAAATCCCCAAACAAGCACAACCGTCTTTACATGGAAGCTCGCCCCTTGGAGGAGGGACTGGCCGAGGCCATCGACGATGGACGTATTGGCCCACGTGACGATCCCAAGGTGCGGTCCAAGATCCTGTCTGAGGAGTTTGGGTGGGACAAGGACCTCGCCAAGAAGATTTGGTGCTTTGGACCTGAGACCACTGGCCCCAACATGGTGGTCGACATGTGTAAGGGAGTTCAGTATCTTAATGAAATCAAGGACTCTGTTGTGGCTGGGTTCCAGTGGGCATCAAAAGAAGGTGCATTGGCTGAGGAGAACATGCGCGGCATCTGCTTCGAGGTATGTGATGTGGTTCTCCACGCTGATGCTATTCACAGGGGCGGTGGCCAGGTCATTCCGACAGCGAGGAGGGTCATCTATGCTTCTCAGCTCACCGCGAAGCCAAGGCTGCTGGAGCCAGTCTACCTGGTGGAGATCCAGGCCCCTGAGAATGCCCTTGGCGGTATCTATGGCGTTCTGAACCAGAAGAGAGGCCATGTGTTCGAGGAGATGCAGAGGCCCGGTACCCCGCTGTACAACATCAAGGCTTACCTCCCCGTCATCGAGTCGTTTGGGTTCTCGAGCCAGCTCCGTGCCGCAACATCGGGCCAGGCCTTCCCTCAGTGTGTCTTTGATCACTGGGACATGATGACTTCTGATCCTCTGGAGGTGAGCTCGCAGGCGAACCAGCTGGTGCTGGACATCCGCAAGAGGAAGGGTCTCAAGGAGCAGATGACCCCTCTCTCGGATTTCGAGGACAAGCTCTAAGAAAAAACCCTTTTGGTCTCGCATATGTTTTTGCCATTAATTTACCTGTTCTAATAGCTGTTCTACTATTGTTAAAGAGTTATAAGACAAGTCAGAAATATGATGTGTTTGTTACACATCAAGTATCGGTGTTGGTAGTGTTGTGCTGTGGAACTATATATTTTGCTGTCTGGTGATATGCAACAGATATGGAACTTTGATAATGTATCTGTTGATAGTTTTTACGGTTTTCTGAATCAGTTTCAGTTTGATATATCATATCCATATAGTACCTTTCACTTTCGTTTCTGCCGAAATCAAATCTAAACCCTCCACATAGATATTATTGTACGTGCCTGGAGTCGTGGACTAACTAGCTGCTTTGCTGTAACCTAACAACTCTTTCTTTGCATTAATCATTCTGTGCAACTTTATTCTTTCTTACTTTCTTCAATATTGTTTCACTCGGATAAAAACTTTTGGAACATGTAAAAAGAAGCTACCAATGGTTACATAATAAGAAAAGTCATCATGCAAGTAAGAAAAATATTTAAATTCACAAGACCATGTCTGTCTTCAAATTCACATCAATTTTAGTTATGAATTAACACTTACTGGTGCATAATTAATACACATTGAGAGAAAGTTTAATGGTTTAGTCTGTTTCTAGCTAAAACAATACAAAAAAAATATTAATACATATTTTTTCAGCTAAAGCAATACAAAAATATTAATACATACTTTTTCAGTAAAACTACATACCCCTTCATAAAAGAATAGAGGATATATTATTAAATAAAACGCTCTCGGTGTTATTGATATTCAGACTCTTTTTTCTCGTTATTGTGTAAGATACTTTTACATTTATAAGAAACGTGATTATTACAAGAAAGCAGAATTATCTCCTCTTTTTCACATTGTTTAATTTTTTAATATAAAAAGAGTGATAGTTTTTCTGAAACAAACAGAACGAGTTTTTTAATATAAAAAGAGTGATAGTTTAAAATATTTTGTCGAATGATAGTTTTTACAGTCTCCTGCGGCCCTTATACTATTTACTCCCTCCGTCCCAAAATATAACAATTTAGGATTGGATGGGACACATCTAGTCTAATGAATCTGGATAAAAGGCTGTCGAGATTCGTTGGACTAGAATATGTCACGTACAGTTCTAGATTGCTATATTTTGTGACAAGGTAGTATCATATAAACAACTAATATTTTTCATTATTCTTGTCATTTTCGTAAATATCTACTCGTTTATTGTACGGACTGCCTGGTTTCGTCTTCCTCTGATCTTGGTCATGCTATCAATTTTTGTGGCTTTTTTTTTTTTGCGTGTATGGTGGACGGCTAACTAGTTTTGGGAGATGAATGCATGATAGCAAAATTTGGCCTGTAAGATGCACTGCAACATACTCTGTCAAAAAAAGCTTACCGCATTCCTTTATCCTAGGTTATGTTCTATCCTTACCTAGGTTAGGTTTTTTTTGGGACAGAGAGAATAAGCTACAAGTTTTATAAGATGCATCGGAAATTTCTAGAATCTGTTGAAGAGATGAGCTATGAGATGAACATAACTCCAAGGATTTGGGGTTAAGGTTTCAACAGTTGGAATGTTGGTCTAGCTTAATAGAAAGCAAAGAAATGGCAGATTGACATAATTGTAAAGTTTGTTTTGGAGCAAAATTGGTTGAACATAATTCCACGAAAATTCATTTCACCATGGAACCAAGAAAATTCTCCAGATTTTAAATCTTACTTCAGAGGTAATAATTATTATTATCCGAAAACATAGCCTACAAGAGCCTGCCCGTATGTAAGTTTGGTTTTCTTCAGATCTTTAGATCGTTAAAATCATATTTTCTACACCCATGTGTCCATTCATATATTGATAGGGTTTCCAAATATTGAAAACAAATGAACAATCGCTAGAAAACGGAGCAATAGGAGATTAAAATGTTCATCACGGAAACATGCCATACCATGTGCTCAAATGTCGAAACAAAAGCGGGTCGCGGAACATATCATATTCGTTACAGGGTTCATTTTGATTTGAAGTTTTAGGCTACCAGAAAATAACATTTGGAAGCCAACCAGCTGACGATCGATATCAGCATCTTAAGCAGTGCGCAGGATGATGTGAACACCACTGTCAGTGTCCACAGTGTCACTCATCTCACCAACCTTGAGAGCAAATGTCGCATCTTCGAAGGGTTTCTGCATCTGCCTCCTCCCAAAAGTGCCTGCAAGGAGGGTTACGCCACGGTTAGAAAAGACCTATAGTACTGGCAAAGATAGAACCCATACCAGAAAATCATTATGCATTATCTGTAAAGATAACAGTGCCCAAGAAGCACATAAAACATAAGTGGCCGTAATGCAACACAAAGATTGCAAAGTTATTCCCTTAAAGCTATACTTAAAGATGCGCACACACAGAGAAGAATATGGGTGCTTAGGTAAATTCTCTTAAAGAATTCTCGATTAAATATTTCTACTTGAAACAGACATGTGACACTCCCTACTCGGCATGCCGATGCTAAGGAATAATGAAGACAATGCCATAGGCTGATGGAAGACGTGTAATGTGGCTACAAACAAGTCTTAACAGAATAAACTTGCACAATAAAAGATGGATATCACAACATAATGGAATGACTGCAGAAGTGCTTGTTACACTGATATAACGCGTGCAACCAAACAATTGGGAAACACAAAAGGAAGAGAAAAAAAAATGGTGCAGTAATTAACTACAAAAAACATTTTATCAGAGGAGCTGACCATCAATGATCGAATGAAGGGAATCAACAGTAACACCCATTTGGGAATTAATACTCTAGTTTTCAGCATAAGCTATTCATCTGACTTGTATGCTCTTACAGCTGAACCAGCTCATTTCATTTGGCTTAATTTAGCCTGGTTAATTATTCTTGAAAGGCTATAGTTCTACCTGCAAAGTTAGCCCCAGTAGTGCACAAATTCGTTGACAAAATAGCAAATCTTGTATCGCGCAGACACTACGTCCACTAGTAGGTTGCAGACACTAACAACACAGATCCAGTGGGAGGCTGGTGATCTTTCATGATAAACAGACCAGCAAACTATGCCATCAGACCAAGCAAATTATTGGATGTCCTACTCATGTCATGACATCTGTGAATGTTATACACGAGTTAAAATTAGAATTTCATTAAATGCCTCATTTCACACTGTGACAAAAATGAGTAGATGATAGATGTGAACAAGCTAACTGATCCTTGTACAAACAGTTAGGCAACAATCCATAGATGATAGATGTGACCTACCTCCTCCTAGGAGCTCCAGGAACTCCCGAGCATATAGCTCTATCGATCGATAATTCTTGTTTGAGTAGTTACTGTTACTATTACAAACTTACACATAACTCCTGTATGGATTAAGGGTTGCAATTATAGCGCAAAAGTTGATTGAAGTGGCAAGATGAAAGAATCGCGTCTCACTCACAGAAGAAAGGTTGAAAGATCTCCTTGATTTGGCTACACCAACTAAGTCCGCAAGAAACGAATGGATGGGCCAAGAAGTGGATCTGAGAGAGAGAGAGATCAGATCGGGGGACGCACCCAGGTCGCCGCCACGGCGCGCGGAGGAGCAGTCGGAGTGGCGGGCGGCGAGGTCGGCGAAGTTGGCGCGGCCGGAGAGGATCTGGTCGCGGAGGTCGGCGAGGCGCGCGGCGGCGTCGGCGCGCGTGGTAGCGGAGATGACGCGGCCGTCGGGATCCTTCCAGGAGGCCTTGCGGCGGGAGCCCTCGTGCTTGATCAGGATGTGCAACGCCCTCACCGTCTCCGTCTCCGTCGCCGACGACGCCATCTCGATCTCCTCCTCTACTCCTCCGCCTCACCAATACGCTTTCTGCGAATACGCTTTTCGAGTCCGTTTGTGCAAACCACATGGAGTAGTGATGAATGAATGAAATAAGGGTTTTAGAGTTGCTATAGGGTGTGTGTTTGCAAGAGAAGTTACCAACACTCCCCTCTCGTTTTCCGCGTGCACGTTTTTCAAACCGTTAAACGGTATTTTTTTGAAAAAAGTTTATATACAAAAGTTATTTTAAAAAAAATCATATTAATCCATTTTTAAAAGAAAATTAGCTAATACTTAATTAATCACGCGCTAATGGACCGCTTCGTTTTTCGTGCATGGGAGATGGGTTCCCAACACCACCTCCGAACATACCATAGTCCTAGTATGAACTTGACTTGAATTCCGGATGTTTTATTTTCCAAAATGATAACTTTGAAAGTTCCTCACTTGATATAAATTCCTAACACAGCCAAAATTATTCATATTGATTAAACCATATATATTTTGGTTGCTTGTAATTCCATTCAACTTTGTCAAATCGTTGTGACTTGTGTATATACTTTTCATGCTCTATAATCAAGATCATACACCCACATATTATGCACGTGCTAAACTTCTACACTGGAAGCTAGCATATATCCATTTCATCCATTCCATCTTTATTTCCACTATCCAAATAAATTCTCCATGCTTATATATGCTTTCTTCTCCTAAAAGAAAATCCTTTCTAAAAAAAGAAAAAAAGAGAAAATAAATATGGAGGGAAAGGCATGGTTATAAAAATAATTAAGTTATGCTCTCTCAATATTGAGCATGATATTAAAAAAAAGTAGCCATGCCCTCTACGTAATTATGAAAGGAGGATTTTGGAGAAGAAAGTAAGCACAAAGGAGAAGTATTTTCTTTATTTTTCACATTTCATTTCCACCATATACCACACACACACATTGCACGATCTTGATCTTGAGTATGTTTAGTCATCTATTTTAGTCCAAGTTTTTGACTTAGTAATAAATGTGAATACAAGTATATCATGTTTGATTCCTACTAAGCTGTAACATCCCGGTCTAGGGCTTAATAGGATTAATATAATACTCATATCAACAAGTTGCAACTTCTTTTCTGGAAGCCAATCTCCAAAGAACTCTAGGGTTAAGTGTGCTTGGCCTGGAGCAATTTGGGATGGGTGACTGACCGGGAAATTCTTCCCGGGTGCACACGAGTGAGGACAAAGTGTGTAGAAAAGACATATGTTGGTCTGTGAGGGCAGTCTATGACCTATGAAAGCTGCCAGATGTAAGTGGGCCCGGCCTGGGAGAGGCGGGTCGTTACATAAGCTCCACATATTAACTTAAGAGTAGGAATAAAAAGGCAATTTGGTGAAGAATTCATATGCTTGGAGTGATTGAGTGAATCATTTGAGGAACTTGGATTTCTTTTGAAAAATCATTTGAAATCCTCCGGAATGAAAGTTGAATAAACATATGAAAGCTGCCAGATATAAGTGGGCCCGGCCTGGGAGAGGCGGGTCATTACATAAGCTCCACATATTAACTTAAGAGTAGGAATAAAAAGGCAATTTGGTGAAGAATTCATATGCTTGGAGTGATTGAGTGAATCATTTGAGGAACTTGGATTTCTTTTGAAAAATCATTTGAAATCCTCCGGAATGAAAGTTGAATAAAGATTGGGTGATTAGTGCTCTATTTGCTGTTCTGTCTCTCAAGCGCTTAAGGCAAGGAAATGAAGTGTCTCATGGGAATCAGGGGTAAGGGTAAGCCACTGTGCCAAATTTATTTAATTTGAGAGAGAGTACACATACTTTACACATTTGAGATATACAGCATAGTAGCAACTCCTGATCAACAACCAAGTTTTATTTTTGAGGTGTCTGGATAGTTAATTTCTAGTGGTTGCTTCGTATCCATCATGGTGAAAGTGAAGCATTGGTTATCCCAATAGTATGCTAATGTCTCTAAGCTGGCTAAACAATTATACTAATATATGTAGTTGAACTATTATAATTACTTTAACTTTTATTGATCTTAACTGAGTTTCATTATTACAAAACTGAAGACTCTCACACCACTAAACTCACCAACTTCCTAACACTCAAAAGCAAACAAACGCATGCACTTACATCCCACCACTGATGTAAATCACATGCAAGACCCACACACACAACCAAACTTAAAACAAGCAAACTAACACAACGATCTAAGACAACGACTAGACATGGCACTCTAGTTCTTCCGAGCATCGAAGGTCGATTGAAGGCTCGTCTTCATCATCTTGAGTTGCTACCCACTCAATCTTGGAATGGTTGCGCTTGGATTCTTCTTCTTCATCATCACTTATAATGATGACCGGAGGATCTGTTAAGGCTGGGGCAACTTCTTTTTCCACCACACGGACCTTTGGCGCCAATTGATAGCGAGGGACAAATAGAGCTCTCTTCCTTGCGGTAAGACGAATCCTGGCCTTCTGCGGCGGTGCTTCTCCCTTCAATGCAGCTAGTTCCTTCTCCAAACGATCCACTTTGTCCTCTAGCTTGCAAATCTTACCACGATTCCGGTCTTCACGATCTTGAGCCGCTAACACAGTCTCTGCACGGCTTTCATCCATAGCCCACAGCATCTCAACCAAATGCCTTGTAGTAGCATCATTCTCAATTCCTTCAGTCTCAAGGTAGCTGCCACGGTCACTTCCCTGGGGTTGGCGAGGATGGTAGCGATACTCAGTGTCGGCCAACTGATCACTGTAGCGATCACGGAGCTCTCCTATGGCGATCCTTGCCACCTCCTGACATGAATGGATGTAGTTTCTTCCTCCAGCTTCGAACATCACTGAGGGGATATCTTCACTATTACTGTTCAAGGTGACTTTGACTCGACACTTCTCTTCATGACGATCATGAGGAATCTGGGCATAAAAAGGGGCAGTCCCAAATCCTATGGCAAAGGACATCGTACGCAACTCCTGGACAAATCCCTCAACACCAAACAAGTACTCAGGCTTGTAGCGCGGCATCTAAAGACAAGTGAAAGGAGGGAGTTAAGACATTTATCCAATTAATAGCACAAGTTTTTGGATTAATTTGAATAAAGTTTAGAAAATCAAAGTAAAAAGGTAAGTAAATAAAATAAACCAAGCTTGCAAGATAAGTTGAAACAGTTGGAAATAAGGTTACAAATTTTGTGCTTTTGAATAACAGGTTTCAAAAGAAATGAAAGAAAGTTATAAAATCAACATGTTAAATTTATTTCAGTGCAGTAAGATTAAATAAAACAATATTGTAAAACTTTTGCTGGTAAATGAGCCATTAGTATAGTAATAGATGTACAGTACTAATAACACTGGAATAAATTTTGAATGAGAACCATTAAAAGAGATTATGAAGTGCATGTGCCAGTAGTTTGGTTTAATTAAAAGAGAAAGGGAGGAGAACAGTTCTACTTTTCCAATATTTTTAGAGAGCTTCTATGGATAACCATTTGGCATAACCTAGGGTCAAGGGGGCTCTGATACCAACTTGTCACGCCCGGAATTTCTATCCAAAATTCCAAACGCTTACATGTGTGTGAACCCTCGTCCAGGAATCAGCCGAGGCACACAATAACAAATTGATAATAGAGTACAATTATTACTCTAATTAATAAGCGAATAAAATGTCATTACAGAGGTAGATAGTTCCTCTCAATCAATAAAGATCTAAGCAGTGGAAAATAAAATAAACGGCGCAGACGACTCCACTCCACAGGCAGCTTGACCAGGGCTACACCTAATCCTCCACACCATCAGCATCATTGTAGAACTCTTCCTCTGATGAATGATTGCAAGGTGAGTATATGACATACTCAGCAAGCCACGCAGCAAATATGCAAGTGCACAGGATAACAAAGGATGGCATAATAGGGTTTCATTTGCAAAAGCAGCATTTAGCAAACATTTGAGAATTTAATAAAACAGTTAAGTAATAATTAAACAATATTAATCCAACACTATACAACATACCCTGTTGTATAGGCCCAACCATTCTGAACAACCATACCCGGCTGTACAGATCTATCTCCAAACCAGGAATATACCATTCCAAACCAGGAGCTAATCAAATTATTACCAATTAGCATCTGTTAACATGATGAGAGGTGTGAGACTAATCACGAAAGACATTGTTAGACCCGCCCATAACCGCGGGCACGGCTATTCGAATAGTTTTACTCTGATCAGAGGTGTACCACTGTACCCACAAGACACAACCCCACATCATGTCACCATGTGCCTCAATACCACCACGGTACCTCGGAAAGGAGTTGTGACAATACCCCTTGCATAACACAATCCACCGCAGCGCACCTTCCTGGATCATAATCACCCCCTTATAAATAAGGCATGGACTCCCCAGCGACCCCCGTGGGCTTATCTCCGCCACTTCTCAGTCTGGTGCCCCGCAATGAACCATGCTATACAAAAGATAAAGCCGTTGCCCACGCTGGCTTGTGGTTGGCACGGTTAATGTTTCACAACCGAAACTCGTGAACCGGTCCTTAATTGTCATGAGCACGACCAACAAAACCATGTGCTCACAACCCACCATTATCAGGTTTTAGTTGGCACATTAATTAATTAACCAATCACGATTGACCATCGTGAACTATCATTAAGCCATCATTAAATTATAGTGATTCATAAGTTATCCCAATAGTGTGCTAATGTTTCTAAGCAGGGCTAAGCAATTATATCTGATATCTAGTTGAACCAATATACATAAAGCTCAACCAGTCAAATTATAATAACCCAAGGTATCAAGGAATAAGGTAATCAAGAACAAAAGGGCTATAACAAACAATAGGTTAATTCCACCCAATGACATTCGAAAATAAATGCAATAGTTGAATAGAAACCATAGCTTTAAACAGGATCAACATGCTCTAAGGGTTGTTTGGGATCTGTGTGACTTGCCTTGCTGGCCTTGGAACTCTTCAAACTCTTCTCTAGCGAAAACGGACTCTCCGGAAACGACGGAATCTAAGCAGAAAAGAGCAAAATAACCAAAACAGCACATAAACAAGCATGAACAGTACATGTGGATATTTTTAACATGTAGATCTCAATTTTAGAAAAATTTAGAGACTTGAACCAACTAAATCCGAGCTAAGATGAATTAGTTATGAATTTTTGAAGATTAAATCGGATTAAAAAACTTAAATTGATTTTAATTGAATTATGACGCAATAATGAATTATTTTTGAAAAGGAAAAGAGGATTTATTGCGTCAGCGGGCTAGGGTTTCGGTGGACCGGGCGCACGGCGGCGGTTCACGCGAACGGACGGCCGAGATCGACTTGATCCAAAACGGACGGCCGAGATCGATCGGTCCACGACCGGCTCACGGGAGAGGGCGACGATGACGTCAGCGGTGACGTCACCACCGGCGGCGGCGGCTCGGCGGCTCGAACGGCGCATGCTCACCGGCGAACGGCGGCGCTTCGGCACGAACGGAGGACACCAACGGGTAGCGGACGGCACGGCGAACTCACCGGCGACCAAAGCGACGGCGGAAGACCAACGGACGGCGACGGCGACGAGGTTGAAACGGCGGCGGTCTTCGGCTTGACGACGGCGATGATGCTTCGGCGGTCTCCGACGGTGGCGAAGCGGTGGACGAGGACGGCGACGGCTTGGCGACCACGACGGCGGTCTTCTCGAGCGACGACGACGTCTGGAACGGCGGCGGCGCACGGCTGGAGCGACGGCGGCGACGGCGGCGCTAGAGCACACGGCGCTAGAGCGCTACGGGCGACGAGAGGCGAAGGCGAGGGTGGCGGCGGGTAGAGGAGACACCGGGGAAGCTTATAAAGGGGTTAGGAGGCGGCGGCGAAGGCCCACGGCGGCCGGCGACGAGAAGGAAAGTTCGGGAAAATCGAATCCGAAACAAACTCGAATCCACGAATTTGCAAACGATTTTAGCCGGTGTTTCCAAAGGAGAAAAGGTAGAGGAGATCCCAAAGATCATTTCCCCTCTATCAATTCGGCCGGAAACGGAAAGAAACGGCCGGATTGGAAAGCGGCGGCGGCGGCGCGAAACTACGGTTTCGGCCGGAGGAAGACGACGGGCCTGACAGGTGGGCCCCACCTATCAGCGGGCAGACGCGCGCGCGCGGCGGCGGACTGGGCCGGACTGGGCCGAGGAGAGAGAGAAGAGAGGTTTTGGGCCGACTTTCGGCCCTAAGCTAAAAGAAACTTTTTAAAACCTTTTTCAATTTAAATTATTTATGAAATGCAATTCCATTTATTAAAAATACTTCCTTAGCTCAAATAAATCCCAGAAAAATCTAGGAATTATAGAATTAAGCAAAGTATTTAATGAAATTTTATCTGGCCCCTTTTTATATTGGAATTTATTAATTAAAATTAGATCTTCTCTTCTAGGCTTTTAAAATAAATTCTAAAAATTCCATTTAAACAACAATTTATATATTTTGAATTTTCAGGGTGTGACAGGCGGCGCGAAACTAGGGTTTCGGGCGGCGGCGGCCGGAGGTTGACGACGACCCTGACAGGTGGGCCCCACCTGTCAGCGGGCGGACGCGCGCGCGCGCAGCGGCGGACTGGGCCGAACTGGGCTGAGGAGAGAGAGAAGAGAGGTTTTGGGCCGACTTTCAGCCCAAAGCCAAAAGAAGACTTTTTAAAACCTTTTTCAATTAAAATTATTTCTTAAATGCAATTCCATTTATTAAAAATACTTCCTTAGCTCAAATAAATCCCAGAAAAATCTAGGAATTATAGAATTAAGCAAAGTATTTAATGAAATTTTATCTGGCCCCATTTTATATTGGAATTTATTAATTAAAATTAGATCTTCTCTTCTAGGCTTTTAAAATAAATTCTAAAAATTCCAATTAAACAACAATTTATATATTTTGAATTTTCAGGGTGTGACAGAAGTAGAGTATAGAGTCCATATAGAAATACAATTAAGAAATAATACAAATTCAGAATTAAAAATAAGGAATATTATAAGTAGAGTATAGAGTCCATATAGAAATACAATTAAGAAATAATAGAAATTCGGAATTAAAAATAAGGAATATTAGAAGTAGAATATAGAGTCCATATAGAAATACAATTAAGAAATAATAGAAATTCAGAATTAAAAATAAGGAATAATAGAAGTAGAGTATAGAGTCCATATAGAAATACAATTAAGGAATAATATAAATTTGAAATTAAAAATAAGCAATATTAGAAGTAGAGTATAGAGTCTATGTAGGAATTTAAAACTAAGTAAAATTCGAAATAAACATAATAAAATTAAAAGTAGAGTTTTGAGTTCATATAAAAATACAATTTACAAATAACTAAAATTATAAATTAGAAAAATGGGATGAAGAGTCTAAATTCAATATAGGAATACAATTTAAAAGTGACTGAAATTCGAAATTAAAAATTAAAGAATATTGAAAGACGAGTTTAGAGTCCACATAGAAAATAGAAATAATAAAAATTCAGAATTAAAAATAAATAATATTAGAAGAAGAGCATAGAGTTTATATAAAAATACAATTTACAGATAGCAAAAATTTGAAATTAAAAAAAGAAATATTAAAAGACGAGTCTATAGTCCATATAGGAATATAATTTACAAGTAAATAAAATTTGATATTAAAAATAATTAATAAATAACACGTATATAAAATACAATATGAATATTACACATTAGTAGTTTCGTAAAGTTAGTACAAAATTTAAAATTATGTTGTCATTTTAAAATATTTGAATAATACATTGAGAAAACGTATATGCTATTATATGAGAGAAAATATAATGATGCTAGCCGCGCAATCTGCGCGGGCCACCATGCTAGTTACACATATTCAAATAGATAAATCGTAGTGGTAATTTTCTAAATCAAAGAAGTTGTAGTGGTATATATGGATCCAATTAACAAAAAGAAACGGAGGGAGTATAAATTAGAATTTAGACTTCCAGTGGATGAAATCATACGCCCATGACTCCACCACCATAGTCTCCTTATAGTACTGGTGTTTTTTTTAAAAAAAATTCCCAATTTCTAAAGATGAACCTTGACAAGAGCTTGTCGGATTCATCACAAGAAATTATTCTATTTTGGAATGAGAGAAAGTACTACTCACTCTGTCCACAAATACAGGTTCTATAAAAACTCACATCTATAAGGGATGGAGGCCAGGGAGTAACATCCAAAAATTGTCAAAAACAAATTGTTTAATCGACTTGTCTGCGTTTTCAGTATTGTAAAAAAAAATCAGAAACTAATAAAACATGGTAAATATCTAGAAATATTATTTCCTGTTAAATATTTGTACCATATGATATATATATATATATATATATATATATATATATATATATATATATATATATATATATATATATATATATATATATATATAAGAAAATAAAAAAATGCTGCTGCAGTCAGCCACTGTCTATCCACCCAACCAGCCACTGACTGAAGCTTCACCATCCCCATCCCTCCCATGGCCATGGCCGCCGCCGCCGCAACTTCGCCGCCGCCGCCGCCGCCGCCACCGCCCACGCACCCACCTCCCACCTCGGCGACAGTCCGCTCCCTGACCGCCGCGGGCAACCACGCCGCCGCCCTCCGCGCGCTCTCCTCCATCACCATGGCGTCGCCGCAGCAGCAGCTCGACCACTCGGCGCTCCCGCCCGCCATCAAGTCCGCCGCGGCCCTCCGCGACGCCCGCTCCGCCCGCGCCATCCACGCCGCCGCGCTCCGCCGCGGCCTGCTCCACCGCCCCTCCCCGGCCGTCGCCAACGCGCTGCTCACCGCCTACGCGCGCTGCGGCCGCCTCGCCGCCGCGCTCGAGGTGTTCGGCTCCATCTCCGACTCCGCGCATGACGCCGTCTCCTTCAACTCCCTCATCTCCGCGCTCTGCCTCTTCCGCCGCTGGGACCACGCGCTCGCCGCGCTCCGCGCCATGCTCGCCGGCGGCCACCCGCTCACTTCCTTCACGCTCGTCAGCGTCCTCCGCGCCGTCTCCCACCTCCCCGCCGCCGCCGCCGCCGTTCGCCTCGGCCGCGAGGCGCACGCCTTCGCGCTCAAGAACGGCCTCCTCCATGGCCACCAGCGCTTCGCCTTCAACGCGCTCCTCTCCATGTACGCCCGCCTCGGCCTCGTCGCCGACGCGCAGAGGCTCTTCGCCGGCGCCACGCCCGGCCGCGGCGACGTCGTCACGTGGAACACCATGGTCAGCGTGCTCGTGCAGAGCGGGATGTTCGACGAGGCCGTCCAGACGCTCTACGACATGGTGGCGCTCGGCGTGCGGCCCGACGGCGTCACGTTCGCGAGCGCGCTCCCGGCGTGCTCGCGGCTAGAGCTGCTCGACGTCGGCCGGGAGATGCACGCCTACGTCATCAAGGACGACGAGCTCGCCGCCAACTCGTTCGTGGCGAGCGCGCTGGTGGACATGTACGCCACGCACGAGCAGGTGGGGAAGGCGAGGCAGGTGTTCGACATGGTGCCCGACTCCGGGAAGCAGCTCGGGATGTGGAACGCCATGATCTGCGGCTACGCGCAGGCCGGCATGGACGAGGAGGCGCTTCGTCTGTTCGCGCGGATGGAGGCAGAGGCCGGCTTCGTGCCCTGCGAGACCACCATGGCCAGCGTGCTGCCGGCGTGCGCGCGCTCCGAGGCGTTCGCCGGCAAGGAGGCCGTGCACGGGTACGTGGTGAAGCGCGGCATGGCGGGCAACCGGTTCGTGCAGAACGCGCTCATGGACATGTACGCGCGCCTCGGCAAGACGGACGTCGCCCGCCGGATCTTCGCCATGGTCGACCTCCCTGACGTCGTCTCCTGGAACACCCTCATCACCGGCTGCGTCGTCCAGGGCCACGTCGCCGACGCGTTCCAGCTCGCCCGCGAGATGCAGCAGCTAGAAGAAGGCGGCGTGGTGCCGAACGCCATCACCCTGATGACCCTCCTGCCGGGGTGCGCCATCCTGGCGGCGCCGGCGAGGGGGAAGGAGATCCACGGGTACGCGGTGAGGCACGCGCTGGACACGGACGTGGCCGTCGGGAGCGCGCTGGTGGACATGTACGCCAAGTGCGGGTGCCTGGCGCTGTCGAGGGCGGTGTTCGACCGGCTGCCGCGGCGGAACACCATCACCTGGAACGTCCTCATCATGGCGTACGGCATGCACGGGCTCGGCGGCGAGGCCACGGTGCTGTTCGACCGGATGACGGCGAGCGGCGAGGCGAGGCCCAACGAGGTGACCTTCATGGCGGCCCTGGCGGCGTGCAGCCACTCCGGCATGGTGGACCGTGGGCTGCAGCTGTTCCACGCCATGGAGCGCGACCACGGCGTCGAGCCGACGCCGGACATCCTCGCCTGCGTCGTGGACATCCTGGGGCGCGCCGGCAGGCTGGACGAGGCGTACGCCATGGTGACCTCGATGGAGACCGGCGAGCAGCAGGTGTCGGCGTGGAGCACGATGCTCGGCGCGTGCCGGCTCCACCGCAACGTCCACCTCGGCGAGATCGCCGGCGAGCGGCTGCTGGAGCTGGAGCCGGAGGAGGCGAGCCACTATGTGCTCCTCTGCAACATCTACTCCGCGGCCGGGCAGTGGACTCGGGCGGCGGAGGTGAGGAGCAGGATGCGGCGGCGAGGCGTGGCGAAGGAGCCCGGGTGCAGCTGGATCGAGGTCGACGGCGCGATCCACCGGTTCATGGCCGGCGAGTCGGCGCACCCGGCGAGCGAGGAGGTGCACGCGCACATGGAGGCGCTCTGGGGGGAGATGGTGGCGCGCGGGTACACGCCGGACACGTCGTGCGTGCTCCACGACATGGACGACGGCGACAAGGCGGCCGTGCTCCGGTGCCACAGCGAGAAGCTCGCCATCGCGTTCGGGCTGCTCAGGGCGGCGCCGGGCGCCACCATTAGGGTGGCCAAGAACCTGAGGGTGTGCAACGACTGCCATGAGGCGGCCAAGTTCTTGTCAAAGATGGTCGGGAGGGAGATCGTGCTCAGGGATGTCAGAAGGTTTCACCATTTCCGCAACGGCCAATGCTCCTGTGGGGATTACTGGTAGTGAAGTACTAGTCTCTCAAATTAATGATGAATTATATATAGCATCTAATACACATGGTTAAGAACAAAAATGATATACTCATTCACATAAGGTGTTCTTGTAACTCGATTAATTTACAGCAAATGTTCAGTTCATTTGTTGCCACTGGAGAGACGGGGAAGAGAGAAGAGTGGGGAGGATGGATGAAGATGGAAACGTGGGGATTGGAGGCAAATGTATTTTAGATGCATCTAAAACTATAGAATTATATCCTATGTTAGATTTAATGAAATATTGCTGATCAAACTTAATAAAATTTCACTAGGAAAAAAAATCTGTTGTAATATACAAACGAATGTTGTAATATGTTACGGTAACAAAATACAAGTTCAAAATAAGTACTTCCTCTGTTTTTAAATATTTTACACCGTTGACTTTTTTAAATATGTTTGACCGTTCGTTTTATTCAAAAAATTTTAAGTAATTATTAATTCTTTTCCTATTATTTGATTCATTGTTAAATATACTTTTATGTATATATATAGTTTTACATATTTCATTAAAGTTTTTGAATAGAACGAACGGTCAAACATGTATTAAAAAGTTAACGGTATCAAATATTTAGAAATAGAGGGAGTAGCAAACTAAATTCTAGCTAGTGAACATATATTGACAAGTAAATTTTGTTTTTTTTATTTATTGCCTGTAGAAGTTGAAGTCTTACGTCACATTCACATATTAATCTAATCTTATTATTCTTTTCAAATTTTGTTTAATAACCATTTACCCCCTCCGTCCAAAAAGAGTCAAACGAGAGGAGAGAATGTCGCATGCTCTTAACCCAATTTGTAACTGGTGGTAGTATAATAATTTCCTGCATCCTCCATGGCCTAGTTGGATCCGGTTTCCAGTGTCGGCTTCCTCCCGTTCCGTCCAGCCACCGCCACCGACCGGGGGATTTACAATTATAACACTACAAACATTAACTTTTGCTATAATAATATTGGACCCACATTTCATAGACACAGATGGGCTCATTTCTCATTCACTCAGAGTGTCAAAACAGCGATCATGCGTCCACAAGTACGCTGCCGGAGCCAGTGAGCCACCACCACATCGATCACGCGCAGCTGCGCGCGGCCGCACATAGGCGAGGCGCGACCGACTTACCTGCTGTCCGGACAAGGTCGCGGAGGACGGCAGAGCGCGCGCACGCCAGGTGTTCGACGCAATTACATCGAGAAGAAAACTCTCTGGTAGATAGAATTCTCATCTCGGCTTCGGCTGTGTGATAAGCAAATGGTGAATTTTTGGTTTGCTGTGAGTGACGTCTGTTCTTTCTGGGTCTTGACCAGATGTCAGCCTGCAATGCAGGTCATCAAAGCAGGAGCATATGAGCACCACTGAGGTCAGGTAGCAGATACCGAGGTAACTTTGGTCCATCGTTACCATCTCAGCAGCCACGGGTTCCTTGTGTATTTGTCCTAGGCTGACGCACTCCAGCCCTTTTGTTTTCCAACAATTTGCACTCCCAAGTCCCAACTGGCAACTGCTGTTGACATTTAAGTTTTTTAGATCAAAAGGCTACCGCCCAGCTTTACTTGAAAAAGCATAAGATGTCTGGATACAGGTTTAAGGCTGGGGATTCCAGCTTACAAGACAAGCATTTAGCCAAGTCTGGCAACATAAGCTGCTGGCCCAGCAGAAGCAGAGACAAACCAGAGAGAGCGCCAAAACTACCACCAGATTACTGCACATTTATCCGGCAAATCAGCTGCTTCTTCCTGCTTCTTGGATACTGGCATGCAGTGAGGCCCTCAAAGCTTCCAGCTCTCCCCTCAATTTCATTGGGACCAGATTTTTCCACTGTAAGAAAAAAGATAAAGCTTTATACGGCACATGCATAATGTCAGAAATGTTGACATTTAAGTTTTACTCTTGAATGCCGATTACAGTACGAATCATATGATACTCTCGAGCTCAACTTCCTGGAAGGTGCAAGTTGCGATATTTGATGGTTGATGCTTACCACAAAATATAGTCTAAAGTGTGGCGTACATGAGTTCACCCCATCGCCATTGGTAGCGTGAGCGATCAGTTCAACACCGCTCAACAACTATTCGACAAAACACCTTCAAGGCATCTCCCTGGCCCTTGTGATTCCTGGCTGGCTGGCTGGTTGCGAAGAATTAATTCAGGTTCCTTCTCTCGTATCTCTTAGATTAATTTGATGGGTGGTTTCGATTTCATACTTCCATAAGAAGGGTGTTCGGCTATATCACAAATTAGATTGTGTCTATATTACATTTTTATTTCAGTGCTAGATGGATATTTTGTTTGAAAGCTCACACAATCATTTGTTTTCGATTTAACACAACTTTTCAGCAATACCAGTGCAAAGTTTGTACATATGATGATCGATGTTTCACGTCCAATCCCACTTTTCAGGTCCACTGATAATAACTGTAATTGAGCCAGCTATATTTGACTGCAAGATTTGAGGACTGGATGGCAGAGGCTGTGGTGTTTGGAATCCTATGCAAGATTGGATCCATCTTGAGTTCACATCTAACACAGGCGTTCGTTGCACACTTGGGAAAGGAGGTATCAGTTTTCATTGAAATTGAAAGCAGTATTAAGCAAATCAGAAGTGAGTTTAGGTTGATGCAAGCTTTCCTGCAAGACGGCCAAGAAAAAGAAAGTCATAGCAGGCTGGCAGAAACCTTTCTACACGAAGTTCAGCAGGTATCATTTGAAGTTGAAGACATTCTGGATGAATTTGTCTATTTGTTTGGCCAAAAACAAACCGCATCTCTAAAATCATTGAGGAACTTCTTTCCAAAATCTAAAAGTATGATGCACTGGCAGAGACTAGCAGCAGAGCTCAAAGAAGCGCAGAACCGCCTCCAGAATTTGCGAAATTTGAAGGTTCAGTACAATATTGACTTATCCGAAGAAAGTCCTAGTTCTATCAGGTATGAAGATAGCCAAGTTCACACAATCCAACACATAAAGCATAATAACAAAATTGTTGGTTTTGCAAACGAGCGAGACTGCCTACAAGAGCTGCTGATGACAAACGAGAAATCATGCTCAATAATTTCCATATGGGGCATGGGAGGTTCAGGTAAAACTACTCTTGTCAAAACTGTTTTTGAAAGAAAAGCTATCAAGAATCGTTTTGATTGCCTGATCTGGGTAACTGTGTCACAAACATATGACATTACTGAAATAATGAGAAAGATTATACAATGTGCATTGAAGGAAACTTGCCCAGCTGACCTAGAAAGCATGTGTAGTGAAGGTGTAGCCCTGAAGCTCCAGGGGACTTTGCAGGGAAGGACATACATGATGATCTTGGATGATGTGTGGGATACAAATGTTTGGTTCAACTTGGAACCTTTTCTAGATTTGAACAGCAGAGGAAGCAAGGTTGTAATTACTACTCGCATAAACGATGTTGCTTCTTTGGCAGATGACAAGAACCGCCTTCAACTACGAGGACTAAACGAGGCAGAGTCTTGGGACCTCTTTTGCATGTGGGCATTCAGACATACTGAAGATCAAACATGTCCTCTCAGATTGGAGAGAGTAGCAAGACAGATTGTTGGCAGGTGTGAAGGTCTGCCATTAGCTATAACGGCTGTAGGCAATTTGCTATCATTCAAAAGACTGGATTCGTTTGAGTGGGATAAATTCTATAATCAACTAAATTGGGAATTGCACAATCGATTGGATAACCAAGGACTTAACATGGTGACCCGACTCCTAGGTTTAAGCTACAGGCATCTACCAGCCCACTTGAAGAACTGTTTCCTTTTGTCCAGTATCTTTCCAGAGGACTATATGATACACGGGAAGTGGCTAAGTAGACTGTTAATAGCAGAAGGTTTAGTTGAACCAAGGAAAAATATGACACTGGAGGAGATTGCAACAGAGTACATTGAAAAGCTAGTAGATCGCTGCCTGCTCCAAGTTGTCAGGAGGGATAAGCTTGGAAGAATATGGCAACTCCAGATGCATGACATTGTGAGGGAACTGGCAATTTCAATATCTGAAAAGGAAGGATTCTGCATGATTTATACTAGTAAAGAAGCACATACATCAGTGGTTGGGTGCGAGCCTCGTCGTTTATCAGTTCATGAGAATTATGACAGAGTCCAGCAAATTATAAATGCTCAACGTATTCGTTCTTTCTACCCATATCAATTGGATAGTGATTATTCCGTGATGTCAAATGTGCAATGGGTGTCAACAAGTGCTAGATACTTGAAGGTTCTAGAATTAAGCAATATTCCAATCACAACACTGCCGAGAGACATTGGGAGCTTGTTCAATTTACATTATTTAGGATTGAGACGAACCANAGGGGGGTTTTTTCCCCAAGCAACTTCCTGAATCAATTGACAGGCTCCAAAATCTCCGAACTTTGGACATCTACCTTACTGAAATAGGAAAACTGCCCAGCGGCGTAACCAGGCTAAGGTTGCTACGCCATCTGATTGCAGGCAAAGCTGAAGCTACTTATTTTGGCCTTGCCGATGTCTACTCAGGTGTGCAAATGCCTAATGGAACATGGCAATCGCTGGACATAAATGTATTCACAGGCATTTCTGCAAGCAACAAGTTGGTGGAACAATTGGCTAAGTTAACACAGCTGAGATCGCTGAAGCTGTCAGACGTTAAAAGTACTCACTATGCCAAGCTATTTGTATCCATCAGCAAGATGCGTCTTCTACAGAGCCTGCTAATTGAGACTGCCAATAGGGATGAGTGTGTGAGCTTGGAAGCCCTGAACCCTGCACCTCATCACCTTGAACTACTCTTTATGAAAGGCAAACTCCATGAGAGCGTCATAGGCTGCCACCTGTTTGAGGTAAATAGGCTAAGCCTCCGAGAGCTGAATCTTCAGAATAGCAGGCTCAGCATTGATCCGCTTCCATCACTCTCCAATTTTTGTAACCTGACCCTTCTTGGTCTGTTCAACACTTACAGTGGAGAAAGCTTGCTCTTTCAGGCAGGGTGGTTTCCTAAGCTCCAAACACTCACTTTGGCTGAGCTGCAAAATGTCAATTCAATAGTGATACAGGAGTATAGCATGGCAAATCTCTACAACCTAGCTCTCATCTGCTTGAAAAATCTGGAGTATTTGCCCCAAGGCATGGAATTCCTAAAATCTGTTGAAGAGTTCAATCTAGTGGGCATGCACCACAAGTTCATGGAAGATGTACAAGCTGGTTCCTCATATGAGAAAGTCAAACACATACCGGTAGTTGACTACTTTGACCAAAGCAAAGGGAGGTGGGATCGACTTTCACGAGTTTATGGCAAAGGTAACCCATGATCTGCTCATCACCTCATCTTCTATAAGCTGCATAATGCATTCTTTTGACCTTCAGTGATCAATTCCCTATCCTTGCAGACCAAGACAACAAGCATCAGCAGTAAGCAAATAAAAGATGGAAATATACCCGGTCTCCAAGTTATATATATATACTAGAAAATCAACGTGCCTTTTGGCACGCTCATGTTATAGCTCTGCAGATGATTTCTGTGGGCTATTAAGAAATAGAAATTTTGCAAATACTACAGAATATGTTCAATTTCCTTAAAATTTGAAAATCCTTAATTATATTTTGTTGGTATTATTTAGCGTTTATTTGTTGTGTATAATTATAATTGAATTGTCCATTAAATGATAAAAATGTGGTGATATTTTTATACTTGTTCTAAGTTTTGTTTGGAAACTTATGCTTGATGGGTGTAATTCATATGTCCAAGCCGGAATAAAATTTGTAATTGATAGGTACTACAAGCTAACCAACTTGCATCTGGGCTCCGTTGATATATGCTTGATATTTGCTCCCTTGTTCAAATTATTTTGAGCCTCCAGGATCCTTCTAGATTAATCCCTAATTCAGAGGCCAACACCTCTTCTGTAGGTAGAACAGGAGACCTACAACGCAGCAACATTCAAGCCTTTTTCTCAACAATGTATTTTTCTTTCACATAATATGTGATTTGTTTGGAAAGTAAGGGGTTGCCACGTGGCCCAATCAAAACTAGACACTGCCAACATGAGAATATTATTATATTATAGAATTTTTTGTATCTCCATCCATTGTAACTGTATTCACTCTTTTGCCATCCAAAAACACCTTTTATATTTTGCCAATCTTCGTTAGTATTTCTTAAAGTAACACCTGTCACTTTACCTGTAACGGACATGACCGTTTTGTCATACCACGGTAACCAAACTGGCGTGGCGAAACAACGTTGCCACGCCACTCAGACCAGCGTGGTAGTGTTGTTTAACCACGCCAGCGAAAAGATTCGGATCTTGAAAATAACCCCCCCCCCCCCCCCACACACACACACAGAGAGAGACAAACACAATGTCCTTGTATATGTCCAAAAAAAACAAAAACTTAAAATATAACTTAAGGATCATCTCTGAAATGTTCTTACATTTTTTTGAAAAAAAATTATAGATATGGATCTAATGTTCTCATAAAAAAATTGCCCAAGGAAATTATGCTATTACATAGTAATTGAGACAATGTTGGAAATTTTTGAAATCCTTTTCAAACAACCTTGGAATTTGCCCCTTCATTTTTGTGAAACTTCTACTTGAACTATCAATGCCTTCTTTTCTTCTCATGTTTTCTGGATTTTTTATTATTTTTTGGGTAAAGAAAAATTTTCTAAAATTGGAAGTTCGCGTGAGGTCGGATATGGTTTTGGGGAGCAAACTAGTGCTTATTGAATGACAATGGCAAAAGATTGAGCACTAAAAAAAGGAAGGAAAAAAGATGGTAAAAGATAGAAGGGCAAAATATATGCGGCAGAAGAGAGAATACAGATTCAGTTAGTGGCAATGAGACCTTCAGATGATCCTTGCAATGTTTGAATACAGATTCAGTGTGTCAAAGTCTCAAAGATGGTTGGGTGAGGGATCGTGCTCCTGTTGGGATTACTGGTAGTATATTACTTGTCTTCTCTGCGAAATTAATAATAGCATATAATACACCATACATGAGAACAAAATTGTAGGCCATTTGCTGGTACGGTTAAGTGGAAGCTGTGCCAATTTCTAGATGAAATCATGAAGTTCAATTATTAGAATCTTTGCAGAAATTATCATACCATTTTGTCCACTGACGAAATTATTGTGATACGGCAAGCTCTTAGCCTCGCATTTTAGAAACAAATTTGTGCTTGTGGCGAACAAATTGTGCACGCCTGGCAAAATGCTTGGCAAACCGTGTTTGTTATCCAAACAAATTGGCCACAAATACAAAAGATTAATTTGACAGACTAACAACAGGAGGCTAGAAATATAAAGTGCGGTAGTCATAGAAAACGTTGTGGCACAGGTACATCGCACAGAGTTTTGCCTTGATGCACAACACATCATATCTAAATTATACTAGTACGGAGTTCCAGGTCAACAAAAGGTAAAAGATTTTCAGTTCGACTACGAACCACCCATGAGTACCCATATCTAAATTATATATATAGTACGGAGAAGACAAGTTCTTGCTATCACTGCTAAAGATCTAGAGAGGCAGATGCAAACCCTTCAGCAACCAGCCAACCACCCTTGAGAAAACTCTGTCAATCATAAGCTCTTCTGTTGGCAAGTGGGGATCTTGATCGCCGGACAGGAGATCGGCTGCAATTATAGACAAATAATACAAAACAAACGAAGAATTAATATTTTGCAGTTGTAGTTATAATTGATCGATATTTATTGTAAATAGTGCCAGGGCCCAGGCCAAAGTGTGCTCCAAGAGCACCCAAATGTGATTGTGTGATTAAAAAATACTAGTAATTTCAGGACTTAATTCATAATAACAAGGTGCAGTCCATGTCTATAACATAAAATGTGAAGTGGGGTGGTTAATCTGACTAGCTTAGGTAACATAAATGTTCTGGTGTCCTCAAGAAAATATTTGCTTAGAGAACTGCTGCTCCTAGCATAACATAACATCCCCAAGCATAAATAGTGCAATCCAAGGAACTACTTAAATGAATGTATGAAGGACATACCTTCGATAGCGATCATTAACAGGACTCCTGTCATACGAACCGTACACAGGACTCCTTTGACGACCGTAGTCAGGACTTGGGCGTGACCTGTACACTGGACTAACTGATCGACGATATGGACTATCATCTCGCCTACCATAGCCACCTCTTGCACCATCATACCTGTCACCTCGTTCTGTATCATCCCTGAAGGCATACTCAACAGAAATCACCCTGTCCAACAACTTGCTGCAGACAGAAGGAAAAATACAGAAGGCATATTGGTTACATGCTACAATAATTTCAAAAATATCAAAATCATTAGTGTGTACAGAATTGCATAGATTTCAGAAGCAGCATAACTGGGTAGCTGTGTGCCTCTACTGTTGTGTTTTAAGCAAGACTAGAAGAATGATTGAATAGTAACATTCCTAACTGAATCGAACAATTAAAGCAATATCTGCTAATTTTCCATGCACGTCAGAAACAAAATAATCAATGAAGCGCCTATGTGGAAATTTCATTTATCCTATATAAGCTTGAGAAAGTTCCTTATTTGCCATGCAAAGTTATCCAATTTCCTTATTTGTCAGCGACAATTGATTGTCCCCTTGCGACAACCATATGAAATTGTGACCCTTACATGCCTTCAATACCATTAACGTTTCTCTGTTTTTGGCATATCCTAGGAATTACCAAAAGATACTCCTTCCGTTCACAAATACTTGTCAGTTTTGACTTTGACTAATCATGCTTTCTATAGTTATACCTTTCAAATTATATAACTATTGTATCAAATTGGTGTTGTTAGATTTGTGATCAGAAGTACTTTACTAATATTGTACATTTAGAGCTATTCACTTTTGTATTACCTAATTAAAAAATTAATGGTCAAAATCATATTCATAAAAGTCAAAACTGACGAATATTCGCAAACAGGAGTCCTTTAATTAACTTCACTATCTCCCGTATTACCCAATCTACATCCAACTATCTCCCGTATTACCCAATCTACATCCAAGCCAGTAGCTGCTCCTATGCTATTTCCTCATTCCCTCCCATCAGCTCAAGCAGAAACCTTCCTCCCCACCCTCCACGGCGGTCTTCGCCCAGAATCCTCCCCGGCACTATGAGCAACCATAGCATGAGTCCGGCAGCACTACCTCCCAAATATAAAAGCTGCTACTCAGGATCCCCATGGCTGCATGGAATTTGAGGGCAAGCACCATCACCATGTCCATGGCAACCACCGAGCAGCCCCCACCATGGAACGTTTCTACTACTGCAAGTTGTAATCTGTACCAACAAACTGCAAACAGCAGTACATGTTGGGCCACCGATCTACCACATATGGTATTTCGAAGAGGAACTAGATATATAGCACCACTATGGTTCAAGGGTTCATGTTTTGTTGGCCGGACCACCAGACAGATTTGGCAACAGCGGCATGGTTGCAGTTGAGGGAAACTCTAGGAAGATCCACGTGCAACAGATTTGGCTCATTCATTTTTCTATAAGCAGTGGGATCCACATGCCATGTTTTTTTTTGTTATATCCAAATTCTGAACGGGTTGCGAAGAAAGGTAGACTTTGCATATGCACCCATTAACAACCCTCTAACAGAAAATTACCATGAGTGGCAAATAAGGGAGCAATTGAGAAAAGGTAGCAAATAAAGGAAGAGACAACTCTCAGTGGCAAACAAAAAATTCACGTAACTTTACATGGCAAATAAGGAAATCTGGTAACTTCGCATAAGGAATCTCAACAAGGTTAAGAAGAGGTGAATCAGATTCATACGTAGAATGAGTAGCTTCAAGTGCTTTTGTGGCCTCTTCCTGTGTTTCAAACTGCACAAAAGCAAAGTTCCTCCTGATCCGAACATTCGAAAGCTTTCCAAATGGTTCGAAATGCCTTTCGATATCAGTGACTCTGGTGTTGATGGGGTCAAAGTTAATGACAAATAGTGTCTTCGTGGGTTTAGTATTCACAGGTGGTTTGCTATAGCCATCACGCCTGGAACCACGATCACCCTGTAATAAAGGCCATAATAACGAATGCAATACTTTGACATTAAAGACCGACTAAATTAAACAACAAAACTCTCAACATGTAAGTAAAACATGTTTCAATTTTTTCAGGGTTATAGGTGGTGACAAGAACAGCAAGAGAAATTACCCGTGACCACTCCACCGAAAGCCTGCGCCTCCCAGGGCCAAAAGGATAGCCATCAAGGGCTCGTATGGCCTCATCACCATCACGCTCATCCTCAAAGTAGACAAAAGCAAATCCTAAAGAAAAGGTAAACACAATTAAGAACAGAGAAAAAATAAATAATGTCTTTGCGCCAATAGGTGCAAGCATTTCCAGTTTTCCTTTATGATAAACAACTCAACACACAATCCCCGTTCAATCAGACCTAATAAGAACAGAAGAGTACTGCACCTGCAAAATATCTGATGGTATGAAGAGCACTAGTGTGGTTATTGGTAGATTCCATTGATGGATCAGAGCTAAGCATGATGTTGTAATAACTTATATCCAAAGTAAGACGATACGACTCAGGAGATACTGAGAGTGCTTCACCAATAACAGAACAATCTCACAGGCATTGCTTATTGAGACAGCACGCACAGAACATTGTGATGTTGATGCCGGGAGGATGGCATGGTGATACTGCTAGTCATGGCATGGTATGGAATGATGGAACTGACGGCACGGCATGGATCACATGATGGTGCCAGTCCCCGCTAAACATGCTCGGGCAGTGGTAACAACAGTAAACAGCGCGCGTCATGTAATGGATGGTCAAGTGAAGGGGATGGCCGGATGAGTGCATGGAGGGTGTTTCAGGAGTTGAGTTTTGCCTCTGTAGTTCCTGCGCCAGAGTAAACATTTAAAACATCTTGCTTCCTGCTGTACATATATTGCAACTGCGGCTACATGGGCATGGACCATCATACATATGCACAATTTATGTGTTCCACGCCGTTGGATGTTACAGATGTAACGACGACAAGCTAATCTTAAACATCCTAATTGCTTCCACAAAACATATTTAACATAAAGCACATCGACATGCTTGGGTGGTTATTCTTGGTAAATTACTAAAGATTATTATTGTGAAAACATATCATAAACATGAGAGTGGTAACCAAGAACAGTTCAAAGTTGGAAAAGAACCTCTTGTTTTCTCTAGGGTGAAAAGAAAAGAAAATTTATTAGACACCATGGACTCGCAATCTCGCAGGAGATTAACAAATCGGTGCCGTATATGAGCACCAAACCGGATCTAATAATTCACGGGGGAAAAAAAAAGAAGACAGGTGGAGAGGAGGGCAAAGGCAGACCTGACTTCATGTCGATGCGGTCGATCCTGCCGTAGCGGTAGAAGAGGCGGTCGAGCTCGGAGTGGCGGGTGTCGTAGTCGAGGTTCCCCACGAACACGGGCCTCATCTTCGCCTTCGCCTTCGCAGCAAATCAAAGATCCCAAGACAGCAAGAACCAGAAAACCCTAGCAAGGAAAGCAGCAGACAGCGCAACCGGATCAGCCCGAGGACTCTCTCCAGGTCGAGGGGTTCTAGCTCGAGAAACCCTAGCGCCTAGAGCCTAGCACCGAGGAGGAGGAGGAGGGTCACCTGCGTCGTGGTCTCGTGGAGCGGAGGACGAAGGGGGAGGCGGCTAGGGCTTTTGGGGCTTTTGGAGGAGGAGGGCTTCTTGGTCGGCGTCGGTCGGTGTCTTGTGTTGGTTGGTTTCTGTTTGGGTTCGTTGGGCTGGGCCATACTCGACATGGGCTGGTAGGCCCATGCAATCATGGACTGTTTGGGGAGTCCCAACCTTCCCGACACAGTCTAGCTTCTTTTTGTTAAGATTATGAGAAGATGTTAGACAGTCTCCTTACAAATTATAAAATAATAAAACCCACTAGAAACCACAGTCTCCTTACAAATTATAAAATCCACAAGTGATATTAAACAGTAATATATAAAGCTCCAAGACAAACCATGGCTTGAAAAAGATGGAAATAAGTAGGAGAATAATATCTTTTTTTTCTTGGTGTTTGTTATTTTAGGGCCTGTTCAGATTGTAGCCAAAATAAACCTTACGAAATTTTGGCAATTCCAAAATTTTGGTAAGATGGCAATATTGCTAAAATTTTAGCAGGATTTCTTATGTATTTACTAAATTTGGCAACAAACTAAACGTAGACATTTTTTTGTCAACTTTACCAAAAAATGGTATGGTTGAAAATGGCATCAAAGTGAACAGGCCCTTAATGTGTCACAAACATTATGGTTGTCTAATGGCGCCTTTCTTACACCTTGAATTATGTAATGATAATTCTCATTTGCTCAACCAAAAAGAAGAAAAGAATCTTGTAGTCACCATCTACATATCATTATCCATGAGAGAAGGAAAAAGTGCACAACCCTTGAAGGCTTGGAGCATTGGATATTGCTGAGCCATCGATCTTGTGGATAAGAGATTCTGAAGCTAGGGTGCTATCCATCTAGCAATCGAGCTTCTTCAGCAAAACTACAAAAGAACACTATGTCGAGCAACGTGGATTCAAAGACATCCAACAAAGCCTCCTATCCTCTTGCATCTTAAGCCATTGAAACAACAGCAGCTCAATCCCAACATATTTACTCTTCTTACCTTCTCCATTGCATATATAATAGACACAGCTAGCTTTGTTGTACCATTGAATCAATCATCAATTTTGCAGCAATAGCTAGACAATCAGCGAGACAAAGTCACAAAACCATGGCTTCTGCAGATGCTATCCTGTCTTCGCAGGTGGCCGGTGAATGCCTGAAGATCAACAAGGTCAGTCAGTCACTTCTTCTCACTCAAATCAACAAAGATTCTTCACGAATATATATACATATATTCTTGATCTTGCACATGCTGCTGCTGTTGCTGTTCTTGCTCGATTAGGACCATTTTACATCTGTTGATTTCTTGTGATTTTGCAGCTGGCAGCAGCAAGCCCAGTGAAAGTAGTGCAGGTGCAGAAGCCGAGCAAAGAGACGAAGAACATCAGCGGTGCACCTGTAGCTGCCGCTGCCGTCAGGGTGGTTGTGAGCAAGCAAGTGATGAAGCCACGGTTTGCCGTGGAGCTGGATGGGCTCAACTGCTTCGAGACACTTGTCCCTCGCTGATGATATCATGAAGCGCACACACGAGCTGCTAGCTGTGTTCCATCTGATTTGTTGATTTTCTGGTCATTATTTTTGCGGGGTTATATTATATTTGTTCAAATTTTCTATGAGTTGGATCCTTTCGCACGCGCGATTATGTATTTTCTTTCTTTGAAGTGATATGTGTAATTTGCTCTTACGAGTGATTCCGACTGTGAAGTATTATTTGTTATATAAAGATATACGTGCTATTGATATCTCAGAGGTTATAATAAGGTTGGGAAACGATTTTTCTATGTTGTACCTTCGTACTATATCATGAGCTTTAAATTTTATGTTTTAGTAGAATTCTTCTTATATCTTAAAATAAAACTATTTTAGCTATTCAAGGACAGAAGGTGATTTTTCCAAGAAAACAGTTGATTGGTGCTATGTGCAGTGCTACAACTATAATCATAACAAAAGCATTGAATTATAAACATTGGTTTAAGAGGTTAAGATGATAAGATCGAGGGGTGGTTTTTTCATGTTGTAGGGGCGCCATACTATATTATGAGCTCAAAATTTCATCTTGTATGAAGATATTGTTTTTATATGTAGAATTTTTTTAGCTACTCAAGGAAAGAAGAAGTTGCTTTCACGACTTCTTCCAAGAAAAAGTTGTTTGTGTACTAGGCGGTGTAGTGCTAGCATAACAAAATAATGGAATTATCAACCTACCAATGTGAGTGGTTTTCTTCCTCATAGATGCATTAATTCTTTGGAAAACACATACAACATTAATCAAGTAGTAGTATTATAAAACAAGCTTAATTTGCACTATCTATTCACTATCTACCCACATTGTAAGTACTAATGTAAACAGTGATAGTATAAATTGGGCTATTGTTTTACTCAAGTAGATATACATATCAACATAAATACCGCTTAACACGTTAAATCAATTTGAGAAAATCATATTTTCTTCGAGCATACTCTAGCTATTCACATGATAGAACTACATCTAAATTTATCAAATACACATTAATTTTATAACTGACATAACAATACAATAAAACTGTCATTTTATTTAAGACCTTAATTGACTGCATCAAATGAGCAATCATGTATGCCTTGAGAATTTTTTTTTAAAGACAAAGCAGGACCTATACCAACATTCATTGAAGAGATAAAAAATTTTTGCTAATTAGAGGGAAGTCTACCTTAGACTTCAAACTCCTTATGTTTGCAATATAGCTACCAATTAAGAAAAACCCACATGACTGAAAACACTACATATGTTACATATGTTAGTCTTGGCTTTTACACATTTGGGTTTTAATGTACTTGAAATAAATCAAAAGTGCCTTATTTTTTTTTCTTTTTTTTTTTTGGCCCAAACCTCTTCTCAGTCAATTTCACAGTCAAATTTGTTGGCCTACCCACGGAAGGACGATGGATAGACTAAGTCCATACGAGGCTCCTAGCATATATGCAAAACTAATGAAACAAGATTAGATGCCTTGAAATTATCTTAGAGCATTATTAATTGTTAACTTTTGCATGATGTTACTCACTACTCTAATAGACATGAACAAATATTTAATAGTTTTATATTAAAAAATAAAAATAAAATAAAAAGATATATATGTTAGCTTTTCCATAATGTTTCTCACTACTCTAATTGATGTGGACAAACATTTAATTGCTCTTTGTATCAAAAGAAAACAAGAATAAAATAAAAAGATATGTCCTTATATTATATTATATTATATTATATGCTAACACGAAATTTTTTGTTTGCTGCTTGAAAATTAACGTTTGAACTTTCAACTCAATAGCTTAAAAATATTTTACCTAAAAGACTACAATATATAACTTAAGGTTTTTAAAACTTCCACATGAGAGCTCCTAGATATTTTTTTTTTGCATGAACAGCAGAGCCAGCCCCTGAGCTGGTCAGGTGGCTACTAGGACTCTATTGTTGTAATGCTTCACTGTGGATTATCAAGAAACCCATAAAAAGTTGTCGTCAACTTATAATATTCTTTTATCACCCAGGCTGAACAATACCAGTGGCTTCGTCATTGATTATTTTCTCCGTAAAATTGTAATGTCCGCTTTATTTTGGGCCCTGTTTCATCGTTTCTTCTCTATTGGGCCTAAATTTCCCACTTCCCTCCCCTTTCATCTCAGCCCACAATCAGTTTGGGCCACAACTAGTTCATTTCCCCTCCTCGCCTAGGCACAGCAAACCAAAGCCCTAATTCCCAAATCGGCCAAACCCTAACCAGAGGACCGAGGACGTGCGCGGTGTGGCGGCGAGGACGTGCGGCAGTGCGGCGGCGGCGACTTCCGGCTGCGTCGGCGGAAGGCGGCGCCAAGGCGGGTAGGAGCCTAGGCAGCGCGTCGGGCGGCGGCGACTGCAGTCTAGTCTGCAGCGTGCTCGTCGGCGGCTGCGGCAGAGGCTTCCGGCTGCGGCGTGCGCGGCTGCGTCGGCGGCAGGAGGCGCCGAGGCGTGCAGGCGGCGCGTCGACGGCTGCGGCCGTGCGGCGTTGGGGCTCGGCCAGGCGTGCAGGCCGCCAGTCCACCAGGCCACCATACAGGTACGCGATGCGGCAGCCGAACGACCACGGCTTGCCGGCCTGGCATGGATTGCGTGAGGGGCTTGATTCATTGATTCATTGCATTGATTTGTTCTAGGTAGTTCAATAGTAGTTATGTTTTCCGGTGGCGACGGCTTGTTTCATTGATTTGTTCTATAGTAGTTCAATAGTTCACTAGCACCGAAGGATTCAACTTCCTCAGTTCCTGTCTTCTTTATTTTTCAGAGTGTTAACTGTTAAGTGTATATTTATTGACAGATTGATAGTATAAAGCTGTAAATATTAGGAATTTAGATAACTTAGAACCATAATATTTAATTTTCAGTGTGTTAAATTTATATATATGATGATAGTATGAGGCTATATATGAGCTGTTGTTAGGAATTTAGAGAATTTAGAGAGGGTGTTTTCTTCGATGAACTATATAAAAACAAGAAGCAAGATGAGCAACAATCTACATTTATTGGAAGAGAATTTTTTGTACAAGTTAAAGGATGAGGACATCATCACTCATTTTTAAAATATCAAGCATTGAAAAGTTCTCCTCTAAATTGTAAGTTTTTTTTATCATTTTACCATTTTCTATCCTTTACATGTTATATATGTTGCCACTTTCATATGTCGAACAATTAGTACTTATATATGTTAAAGAATTTGGACTTATGATCAATTCTATCAATTTATAAAGTTATGGCCATATGCTATAATATTATACAATTAGTAATGTGTAATATTATACCAATTAATTATTGGACTTCTAGAAGTAAAAAGAATTTTGTTTTACCCCTACCTATTTCGAATACCCAACCTCTAAATCCTGGGCCCGCCACTGCATCAAGCCCAGAAATTTCAACAGAAGAACAACTATCACTTTCCCACTTCAAAGTGATGGAATTCTTTGATAAGCCTGTCAGCTAAACATTAAGAGAGTCATCACTTAGCACAAAATTGTACAAGCAGTGCCTTTTATCTTAACCATCATAACTACACACTGAGGGAAAAAAAAAAAGAAATATTGGTGAGTGTTCACTTACAATGTCAGCAGTAGCCAATTTAATGGCTTCCAACTTTGGAAAGCAAGCTCGTTTACTCTGCAGAAGAAACATATGTTCAGGGGAAGCAAGTAGCATAGTAACATAACTAGTAGCAATGTGGTAACAGGACACCAGACCACCAACAGACTTTACTTTGTAAGATAGTTGTGAGAGATGTACACACAGGCAACCTGTTGGTATCCATTGGTATTACCAGTGCACACAAATTATAAAAACAAAATTATTTTCCCACACACATTGTTTTGTACTGTTCTAAACAGTATAAGATACCTGTAGTAGCTGATGCCCTTCATTAAGACTGTAGCCAAGAATCCAGAACATATACGCCAACTGAAAATTTATATAATGGTATCAGGATCAGAATATTGCTGCTCTCAAGATAATGGACACCATCAAATCATAGAGGATCCTGATACTATAATCATCAATCCAGCGTGAAACTTGGACAGGCATCAGCAATATCATGAGAGTGAAAGTCAGTTGTGATACTATTGGATTATTTAAGTACTATAACATTGTGCAAATAGAACAATTTACCGACTATACCTGTGATGATTATGTTATAGTCTAGGACTCACTAGACACTAGTTAATGTTCATTATTTGGGAATGTATATATGTGTTTTCCATTTTTCTTCCCTTTTTGTGGGTGGGCCAACAACTAACTGAACAGGAAAGAAGAAGACAATATTATAATGTAAACCTAAACCTATTATAAGAATTCTTGGGAAACAAAAAAGAAAAGACCATGGAAACCTACTGTCACAGCAGGAGCTCTCCCAAGTCCAGCGGTACAGTGTATATATGTTACCCCACCATTATGGTTGACAAGCTTGTGCAGTTTGCTAATCACAGCAGGAAGCCTCAATCGCAAATCAAAAGCATCAAAATCCCTGGTGTAATTAAACATTATGCCACTTTAAGACTTTGAAAATATGGACAGAACAGACAATGGAAAAGGCATTCAAGTCAATGCAGGAAAAGTTACATTTGACAAATAAATGCTGATTCAAGGAAAGATGAATCATCTATTCCAAAAATAGAAGAGCATAGGAATTATAATTGGAAAGAGAAGGGGGAAAAGAGATAGACGTTCAGATCATGCCATCTTGTAGACATTATTAATGAAAATAAAGGGATTTCTATTGCATTTGACATAGACTACACCAAATCACCAAAATTCTTAGTTTCTCAAAGTAAAACGAAGTTATAGAACTTTAGGTACCTAATTTCGGCACGACAGTGCTCTATATCTTTACATTGTAGACAATATTCTTGAATGGCACAGATGTCAACTCCAAAATATCTGAACTGGTTAAGGATGGAATACAACTATTCACTGAAAGAACACATTGGGCAGCAATGGAAACAACAAGCAACTATGCTGTCAGTATAAAATAGAACTATTTTTATGAGATGTACAATATGCATTGTGCTGAATATCATAGCTGCAGAAGAAGTACAGTAGCAGGGAAGTGAGGAGCAAATGTAATTGTTCAATAGAATTATGGTTATTGTCCAATAGCACAGTAACATAATTAGGAAGAAGGCATGCTGACATAAAAGCACTCCCTATTCCAATAGTTATTTTGATAAAAAGCCATCACCAGAATTTTATAATTCTCTTCGATATAGTTGGTGTGATTCACAGTAAGTGACAGCATACATTTCAAGAATCAAGAGGCTCAAATTCTCTAAACCAGGAGAACTATGGAAAAATGATGTATTATCTATTTAATTATGAGAAATATATTAGTCCAAATCAACATATATGTAGAAAATAAAAAACAATATGAAAGAATTACGGAAATACGTACTAATGTAGTTATCATATATAATACAATGAGAAAAGAAGACCATAGTCAAATGCTTTATTATTGAGCAAAAATGATGGTATTATTTTTATCATCTTTTAGAGGAATCTATCTAAATATAGTTAATCAGCCCGTGTTAGTAGAAGCATGTATCGTCATGCATCAACATATCATGAGATTATTAGTTATAGCTAAGTACACCGGCGTAATCATACTTAGCATATCACGAGACTATCGGGTAATGGACAATTATCTTTAATTGTGCTAGAGAAAAAATATCATACTTAGCATATCACGAGACTATCAGGTAATGGACAATTATCTTTAATTGTGCTAGAAAAAAAAAAGTACTCCCTTCGTCCCATAAAAAACCAACTTAGGACTGGATGTGACACATCCTAGTAAAACGAATCTAGACATGCATATGTTCAGATTTGTTGTACTAGAATGTGCCACACTAGTTCTACATTCGTTTTTTTGGAACAAAAGGAGTAAATTACAATCCATACTATGTATTCTAAAAAATTCTTACAAATTTTCATATAATGTTATCCTTTAACCATTTTCATTTACACAATAGCTAACTTTACATTTTAATTTGGACCACCATATTTTATCCATCTCCAAGTCCGGTGACTCAGTAATCACGTCGCACATTAACTCTCTCTCTCTCTCTCTCTCTCTCCATTTTCTTCTTTCATCTGACAGTTGGATAACCGATAGATCTAGCAAGAAAGAGCCCGGATATAGCGCCTTCGCTCTTCGTCGGGTCAGCTCCTGCCTTCCAAAGTCCCTGCAAGCCCGACATCTCCGACCTCAATTGCAACCATAACAATAGTGTGCATCATGATAGGGGAGGAGAAAAAGACTTGTCGGTTACTAGAGGTTAAGGCTGTGCATGTAAGGCAAAGGGGAGGAACGATGGTGGCTCATGGAGAAAGAGCGGTGATGGCGGTGCGTAGAGTGACAGTTAGCAGTTGCAGGTGGTATGAGGAATTTGTCGTCGACACAATCTTTTAATTTTTTTCCTAAGTATTGATGATACGTGGGTCACCAGTTATATAAAGAAATAGCTTTTAAAATATTAGCTTGCCCTAAAATAAATGTCAAAACTTTTGACCGTCCGTCTTTGAAAAGTTTATGAAAAAATTAAAATAAATTAGTCACACGTAAAATATTATTCATGTTTTATCATCTAATAACAATAAAAATACTAATCATAAAAAATTTTAAATAAAAAAAAAGTTAAACGCCGGACGTAAACCGTAATAAAAAACTACACTTAATTAGGGACGGATGGAGCGGTAAATAAAAATATGGAGATAAGGTTGGAGTATCGCTACTTGAGATAAAGAAAAAGAAACCTCTCGTTGTCTCCTCCGCTCCTTGCCTCCTTGCGCCGCCGCCAAGACGAGTGGCGGCTGAACAAGGGAGGGCCGGGCGGCGATCTCCATCGCAGCGGAGGGGAGGGGATCCTGGTGCGTCTTCTTTCTGATTCATCTCTCTCTCTCTCTCTCTCTCTCTCTCTCCCACCCCACCGGGACTGGAATTTGCGGGATTGCGTTCGTAAACCCTACTAGCTTCTCTTCTAGATCTTCTCCTCCTCCTTAATTTGATAGCCTTAAACCTCTCTTAAATAAATAATTCAAGTAATAACAGTTTGTTTGTTCACCCAAAAGTTTGGGGGTTCAACTGAACCCCCATGTCCCAAGTTGGATCCGCCCCTGTGTCGAGGTCTTGGTGGTGGTGGGTACCATTTCAGAATCAAACCTCATTTCCCATGCATAAAGTAGTATGTATAGTGTGTTTACTTAATTTTAGGAGAGAAATAGAATGCTCCATTCACACATACTAGCACTCATTTTGTCATCAGTAATGGAGATGTCATCACTACTACTCCCCATGCCATGCAAAATAAATATCCATATTACCGTTTCATTGCCCACATTATGATCTTTAATTCGGAAATAATAAGGCATTGCAGCGAGAAATCCATGGCATGGGGAGGTCTCTTCTTGAGCTTCAGCCGTCCCTCACAGGACCAACAGAAGTCATGCCTTTCAGCTGCTGGTGGTTTCAACTATGATGCGCCTCTCCATGGTGCCTCAAGACCAAAATCAGTAGCTAAATTGACTGCGGGAGATACTGAAGCAAGTGACAAAGCGCTTGTCGAGCGCGGCTTCTTCGTGAACCGTTCACGTGTTCTGGTTGGCTCTGGCACTACCACCTTCAACCATGCCAAATCCGCGCTTCTCTCCTGGAAGTAAAGCCCAAGAACTACAAATTTTGTTATGTTGTTCATCTGGTCTCCATAACCAAGCAAACTGGTGTATATCTAGGCATTTGGCACTAGGCTGGGCAAATGTGGAACCCGACACACCGGTGAAGGCTGGAACAAGGTTCTGCATTTGTTACAAGGAGCTGATCCCTTGGGTCATGTTGCCCCTCCAGATTGCCTATGTGACCGATGGCAATGGAGGCAACTCCTCAGGCCATGGAAAAGGCTGCGTTTTTGCTTATGGTAGCGGCACTCTACAAGGCCATCTGCTGGTACGCCTGCCTCCTAATCTCATCAAGTAACAATGAAACATTGTAGTACTCACTACTCAGTAATGTAAAATGTTCAGAATGCAGTGCAGAGTTGCAGGTGTTTTTTTACTGAATGAGTTGGATGATCATATTTTGATGGTTTGCAGGCAGGGGAGGAGAGGTTCTCGGTGCAGCTGGACGAAGACGATCAGGTGTGGTACGAGGTGATGTCCTTCTCGAAGCCAGCACACATCCTGTCCAGCCTCTGCTACCCGTACGTGCAGCTGAGGCAGAAGCATTTCGCGCATCAGTCAGGGCAGGCACTGCTCAGGCATGTTGCCAGCCGCTCCAGGGACACACGGTGATCGACTTCGTCTGCAGATTTGATCTTTTCTTCAGGAGTAGTCTTCGCATGTTGTGAGTGAGCCTGCTTGTATGTTCCTGTATCTATGTCCGAATCTGCTCCTGAGAGCATTATTAGTTTGTAGTTTGAATTTTTGAGCTCAGGGTAATTATTTAGCATTTGTGCTTTGTTGTTAAGTTTTAGATCAAATTGAGGTGTTATGGTGATGTAAATTCAGATTTCCATGGTTTGTTACTAAATCAAAAGGAAGAATGAAAGATAAGCACAAGAGGAACCCCACAGTTCCACGGAACAGGTAGAAGAGACGTCTTGCACCAGGCAAACGCCCCTTGTTTATAGTGATGAGAGTATGGATTATCTGTTTGTCCCCTTTACCATGGTAGTAGAGTACTCAATGGATTAGCAACTTTTTCCATGTCTGTCACTGTCACTAGAAGAAGCTTTGCTAGTGCAAGTGTTATCTGAGTTGAGCAGACTTGCAGCAGCAACTGCTGCTTGATTTTCATTTCATTTTATTGCCTTCATTATTGGTCAGCTTAGCGTTAAGCATTCAAGCATAGCCTCTGCTCATCAGAGGAAAGAGAAAGATGATGTCAAAATTTATGCATGTTTGCTGGCCTGCACATTAGTGCACTGTATATTGTTCTGTCTGTCCACCCATAAAGTTTGAATACAAACTTCAGTCTTTTTTCATCACATTAACCTATTATACACACATAACTTTTCAGCCACATCATCTTTAATTTTAACCAAAATCCAAACTTTTGTACTGAACTAAACACAGCCAAAAAGAAGAAGAAAGCGTCCTCCCCTCCACGCAAGCAAGCAAAAAATAAAAAAAATAAAAAATTTTTCATGTGATGAAGTTGATAAATCTCACATCTAATAAATACTCCTCCAGTTTCATTTTAATTGATGTTTTGGACAATACACGGTCTACCAGATATATCTTTGACCTTATTTTTCTATTATAATATATACAATATATAAATACATGTTTACTTTTATTAAATATTTTTAAAGTTATTGATGGTTAAATTTATAAAAGTTTAATCTCAACCTTATTCAAAACGTCAATCAGAGCGAGCAGTTAGTTTCCACGGTATATTTTCCCGGTTTGGGTTAGGCCATCCATCCTCCATCCCTGGGCGCTTGCTGGGCCTCGGCGGATCCCCCGAAGCAGCCGCCGCAACAACGAGAGAAAGGCAACAAATCAATCAATTCCCCCATCTTCCTCGTTCTCTCCGCCTCCTCCCCACTCTCCATTTATACTCCTCTTCTCCTCTCCATCGCCGCATTGCTCGCCACCCCGACGACGACGACGACGACGGCGACGGCGGAGGAGTAGAGACAGAGAGATGGCCGCCGCGTCCTCCTTCACCGCCGCCGCCAAGTTCTTGGCGCCGGTGTCCGCGAGATCCGCCGGGGACTACAAGCCGCCGCTCCCGCTCCCGGCCTCCGCCTCCCTCAGGCCCGGGAGGAAGCCCGCGCCCCGCCTCCGCACCGCGCTCGCCGTCTCCTCCGACGTGCTCCCCGGGAACAAGGCCGCCCCCGCCGCCGCCGCCCACTCCGTACGAACCAAATCCCACATCTCTTCTTGCTTCTTCTCTCCCTCTCTGAAATGATCCCAAAATATATATATATATATATATATATATATATATATATATATATATATATATATATATATATATATATGTGTGTGTGTGTGTGTGTGTGTGTGTGTCCGATCTTGCGGGGCGCCGCCGCAGTTTAGCTACTTGAGATGTGGTAAAATTTCCGATCCTGGGTGTTCCGGTTTGTAGATTCGTCGTCATTCCTGAGGTGGTTTAATTCTAGAACATAGTTAAGATTACACGCGCTGCTTGGAATTTTTTTTATGCTAGGCTACTTTACTGAATCTCATGTTGAGCAGCTAGTTCTCAGTACTAAAAATGGCACTTTCTTTTAGTTAGATCGAAAGTGTTCCGGAAAGCTGCCCTCTTGGCGACTTCCTTACTGTGACTGTCCAACCTTTTAAGCGGTTTTGTATTCTCGATTGAGATTTCTTTAGTGCAAATAAGAGGTCACCAACAAGCAACTAGAATTCATTGTTTGCCACGAATTTGGTGATGCAATTTACTACTAAACCTGATGGAATCTGGAAATGCAAAGTTTAAAGGGAAGGATCCGTCCTTGCAATTTCAGAACTGGAGAATGTTGCCTCACTTCTTGAAATGCAGCTTGCAATTTTGTAGCCACTGTGGTGCTTCGATAGGGAAAACTCATCTTGTCTGCTGTTACAAGTGTTAATAGTAGCCTTCTTGATTCATATCGTTTCATTTTCCACAGGCTGTCACGCGGGAAGAGGCTTTGGAGCTGTACGAGGACATGGTTCTTGGCCGTATTTTCGAGGATATGTGCGCGCAAATGTACTACCGTGGCAAGATGTTTGGTTTTGTCCATTTATACAATGGGCAAGAAGCTGTCTCCACTGGCTTCATCAAGCTGCTCAACCAAGCTGACTGTGTTGTCAGCACATACCGTGACCACGTCCATGCCCTATCCAAGGGTGTCCCTGCACGTTCTGTCATGGCTGAGCTTTTCGGTAAGGCCACTGGCTGCTGCCGTGGACAAGGTGGTTCTATGCACATGTTCTCTGAACCCCACAACCTCCTTGGAGGTTTTGCCTTCATCGGAGAGGGCATCCCTGTTGCTACTGGTGCTGCCTTTGCTGCTAAATACCGCCATGAGGTGCTCAAGCAGTCTAGCCCTGATGGACTTGATGTAACCCTGGCATTCTTTGGTGATGGTACCTGTAACAATGGCCAATTCTTTGAGTGCCTGAACATGGCTCAGCTTTGGAAGCTTCCTATTGTGTTTGTTGTGGAGAACAATCTATGGGCAATTGGGATGTCGCATCTTAGGGCTACTTCAGACCCAGAGATTTATAAGAAGGGTCCAGCGTTTGGAATGCCCGGCGTGCATGTTGATGGGATGGATGTCCTGAAGGTCAGGGAGGTGGCTAAGGAGGCCATTGAGAGGGCAAGGAGAGGTGAAGGACCGACTCTTGTGGAGTGTGAGACTTACCGGTTCAGAGGGCATTCTCTTGCTGATCCAGATGAGCTCAGGAGACCTGGTAAGGGTCACCTTCCTTGTTCATTTTTTAGTTCAATGGTGTCTACTAGGCTAACTAAACAGAGAAATGGAAACTATAAGGAAAATATTCAGGCACTTAGGTTTCTAATATTTTTAATACCGTTTTGTTTCATGTCTGAGTAAGTACAATACACTTCACAAACTTTGTACTAATTCACCACATAATTTCCCTCAGGCAAGGTCCTCTGATCCTGTTTAGTGACGTCGTAATTTTATAACTATCTAGAATTTTTGATCTGCTTATATCACTGAAGGAGTACTTATATCCTTATTTCAATGAAGGAGTGTTAATAAGATTTCTGCATGTACATGCAAAAATTTTGCTTCCAAATTTAGTATATCCTGTTTCATCAGATCAGTATACGCATGATCTTCTTTGCTGATGAATAACTAATAGGGTTATTTGATACTTAATGAAAATTTATTAAAATTAGTTATTGCTATAGAATAGTCTGGTGGAATGTTTGTATTTTTATGCCAATTGAACTATTGAACAAAAAGAAATTCTCGAAGTCTGTAGCTTTTGTTCTTATCGTCATCCCAGTCATCTTATCTGACATGTCAACATCCTGACAGTTATTGCTAGATTGTTTGGTAGTTACTTCATAGGACATTTGGCACCCCTTTTTTCAACTATCATTTTGACAATGAAAAACATCAGTTTTTGGGAGAAACAAAGAGTTGTTGATTAATAGGATCTCATGAGTCATCATTGTTTAAATGTGCTTGCAATACATACAATCATTAAGTAGGGTTGATATGTGAGTTGTGTCCTACATTTGTTAGTTTTTTTTGTCTACTTTGATCTTGAGTAAATATGCCCTTGTTTATATCTACCAATTCTGTTTGATTTTTGTAACCTCACCGATATTCTTCATGATCTATCTTTTTTGTTTGGCTGTGTATATTCGTCATATTTAGTTTTATACTTTGATTCATAGCCACTGTAACTCATGATGTTTTTTTATTGGTCTATATCTGAAACTATATTCTCATTATTCATTTTATGGTTTGTATCATCACACAGTTATTGAATCCTTAAGTCAGCTGTACAGTTTCTTTCCTCCTAATTTGCTCTGACTAAATCGTCTTATGACATTGTGCACAGATGAGAAATCTCATTACGCCGCAAGGGACCCCATTACAGCCTTGAAGAAGTACATCATCGAACAGAACCTTGCAACTGAATCCGAGCTGAAGAGCATCGAGAAAAAGATCGATGATGTTGTTGAAGAGGCCGTGGAGTTCGCTGACGCAAGCCCGCTCCCTCCCCGGAGCCAGCTTCTGGAAAACGTGTTCTCAGATCCCAAGGGCTTTGGAATTGGCCCTGACGGGAAGTACCGGTGTGAGGATCCCTTGTTCACGCAAGGCACGGCCCAAGTCTGAGAGGCTCAACGAGCACGCTTATCAGTTATTATGTCATGCTTTTTCTTGTCTCTCTCTAGCTCTACCCTATCCTAGTTTTTGTCGAACCCATCGTCGTGTTAAGCGTAATGTAAGCACAACCTACTTCTTCATTTGTTTCATTCTTAGACCTCCCATATCAATATGCTCAACTGCTGCCCCAGTTTTTGCTCAGTGTGTTCGATTTGCTCTTCAGTAGTTCTATTGGTTTCAGAACAGCTGGGCCTGTAATCACTCACTCCTATGTCTGGACATGCAAAGATACTTCTGGTTTAGAGTTTCAGCTGAGTTACAGTGATTAGTTTCCTGCCTGTTATACTATATTTATAAACATCATGATGGAATGTGAGACAATATCTGCTGTCCTTGTTTTACTTTTGGCTAAACCATGGACATTGTCCCAGTCAAAAAGGTACTCCCTCCATATTTTTTTGTTGGTTAGCTAAAAAATGAACTAACCAACGTCATACATTTGTGCAAGGAGGTAGTATGAAATTTAGTATTTGCAAATGTTATAGTCTCATAAGGAAGGGCAGGTAATGGTTAGCGGAACTTACCAATAAAAAATATCAAATAAAGGTTTGAAAATTTGATCAGTAAAGTTTCTTTTTTATATATAAAAAAATGAATTTATATCCCTCTCTGTACCATAACCAGTACCATTAGACTACATGTCCTTTTGCAATTGAAGATTACAAAGAAAGTCTTATGTGCCAAAGGATCCTCTTTGAATCCCAAGTCATGGTTTACATTAGTTCTGGCTAGAGTTATGTAACGCCCCGATTTTCGTTCGGGAATAAAAATCAATTAATAATGCATTTCTAGAAATTATATTAAAAGTTAAATCAATTTAATCAAGTGAAATTATAGAGGAAATTAAAATTTCCTTTAAAAAAATCATTGGCCGGGAATATTTTGCAATATTCTTTGTGCCCCAAAAATACTCTCCGGATTTTTCCGCAAATTTTCGGAGCTCAAGAAATAATTTTAAAGTCACAAAGTTCATTTAACCAATTAGAATAAAAAGAAAAGAAAATAATCTTCCCCTTCCTCCCTTTTGGGCTTAGCCCAAGCCTTCCCCTCCACTCCCGTGGGCCGCGCGCCTCCTCCCTCTCTCGGCCGGCCCGCGCCTTGCGAAAGTCTACTTTACGTCCCCCGGTTTTCCTCCCCTCCTCCTTCCTAGGCCGGCCTCCTCCCTCGGCCCGCTCGGCTCTCTCTCTCCCTCAAGTCTGCTTTACCTCCCTCGCCCGTTTTCCCCTCTCTCTCTCCCCGACAGGTGGGACCCGAGGCCCCACCTGTCATCTTCATCCCTTACCTCCCGTCGCCCCAACCGCCGCCATGGCCGCCAAATCCTCCCACGTCACCGCCTCTCCCGCGCGTGCGTGGACGCGGTCGTCGCCCACGTCGGCGCCGTTTTCCCCCACTCTCCCCGCGAAAATCGGCGCCGGTTAACCCCTCCACCACCCCACGTCGGCGCCCCACTTCGCCGGCCGATTCCGCCACGTCCGGCCTCGATCCCGCCTTCCCGAGCCCATAAAAAGCACCCCCGTGCTCCCCTCATCCATTTCCCCTTGTTTCCCGGGCCCGGCACTCTCTCCCTCGCTCTCCCCACATCGTTCCCGCGCGCCGCCACACTCCGGCGAACTCCGGCCGCCGTTTCCCGTCGCTAGGGTCGCCGCCGCACTACTCCGCCGCCACCGCTGGCTTTGCCACCTCAAGGGCACGCTCGGCCGCCGTTTCTTCCTCCCCTTCCACCACGCGAACCACCTATCCACCGTGCTCCCGTTCTCCATCGGTCCCTGGCGAGCTCCGGCCACCTCTAGCCGCCGCCCTAGCCACTGCTGCGCCGCGCCGTTTGCACCACAGACTTCTCCGTGCCTCGCCGCACCCCGGCATCCTCTCCGTTTCCCCATTTAATCGCCGCAACCACCCTTCCACCGTGCATCCCAAGCCACCTCCACCCTATGCCGCCAGGCCGCCGTTCCGCCTTCGTCCCGAGGAGCGCCGACGTCGAGCTCCCCCGCCTTTCCCCGCCCCTCGTTGTCGCGTCCTTGGTGAGCTCCTCCTCTCCCTCCTTGCCTCCCTCCTCTGTCTCCCGTGCGTGCTGCCGCGCCGGTGGCCGCCGCCGGCGACCACCGGGCCGTGCGCCGCCGCTGTTAGGTCGGCCGGCCGGCTTGTCGCCGCCCCGCTCGCCTAGGCCGCCCGGATCCCCTTGCCGCGCCGCGCCACCGCTTTCCCGCGTGCGTCGGCCGTCGCCGCAGGAGGCCGCGCCGCCGTGAGCCGTCGCTCGGCCGGGCCGGCCTGAGCTGTGCCGTGCTCAGCCGCGCCACCCCGTGGCCGCCCGTCGGTTCCCGTGGACCGGTGGTGGACCGCCTCGGTGGTCCCGGTCCACGGTGGACCGGCGCCCTTGTGCCGCTGACCGGTGGGGCCCGCTTGCCGGCGCCGCCCCTCCCCTTTGATGACGTCAGCAACCGTCTTTGCCTTTGTAAAAATAAATAATAATTGCGCAATAATTCGTGAATAATTCTAGAAATTCATTTAAATGGCTCAAAACTTCTAAAATTCATATCTAATTCATTCGAACTCCGAATTGAGCCATTCAACTTGCAAAATTCATCTAAAATTGAGCTCTACATGTTTGTTTACTTTTTATGTACTGTTTTCTTGGTTTTTATTAGAGTTTTTCCTCGTTTTGCATGCCAGCGTGTAGTTTCCGTCGTTTCGGAAGTCCGCGGTCGCGAGGAAAAGAGTTCGGAAGATCAAAGTGAAGAAGCAAGGCAAGTCACACATTTCCCTTGAGCATATTGATCCCAATTTACAGATGTTTTACTGTTTGCAAATAAATATGCATGTTTTGCTAATTACATGGGATCCGGGTATTACCTATCTGCTCGCTTGTGCCATGTTTACTTGATATCTGTTCTTTGTCAACCATGGGTAATAAATCGCCTAGCTTGTGTTACTTTGGTGACCTAGCTAGAACTATATGCTTAGCCATGCTTAATTACCACTAGCTCAGTCGATGGGATAATTGCAGTATTAGACATTCTAGTATCTTGTTGAGCTTCGTGCTCGAGACATCTGGCCATGCTTCATGGTCGTAATTATCCAACTAAAATGCGACTGCATGGTGGGCTGTGGGTGCATGGTTTTGCTGGTCGCACCCATGTCAGTTAAGGACCGGTTCGCGGAATGCCCTGGAAGAACTTATTGTACTTACCACAAGCCAGCGTGGGCAACGACTGGGCTTGTAGTGTAGCTTTCCTCTAGCCGACGCATCCAGGCAAGGGTGGGCGTGATGGAGTTTGGATGGGCCCTGCGACGGCCTATGCGGCTTCCGGATTCACCTAGGCACGAGAAGGGACTGCCCACTGCCTTGCGAGGAGTGGGGGTGAAACCTGAGGTGTGGTGTGCTTGGTTAGAGGGGGTTATGCGAAGGGTCCTGTCACGGCCTCTTTCCGGTATGTCGTGGTGGCATGTCGGCGCACGGAAACGTGTCGTTGGGCTGTGTCTTGTGGGTACAGTTGTACACCTCTGATCAGAGTAAAACTATTCGAATAGCCGTGACCGCGGTTATGAGCGGTCGACCAGATTCACCGTGATTAGTCCCATCTTAATAAGTCGACCCAATACACTGTAGTTCAGGTGGATTGGTTGGACCTGTTCAACGTGGTGTAGCGTTGATCAGTGGAGATTTAATGTTACTTTAATTACTCAACAGTTTTACTGTTTTGCTCAATAAAATGTTTTACAACCGCCTTTATGCAAATAGCCACAAACCCCTCCTTGTATCCCCTTGCACATCTGCATCGTTGGTGTGGCTTGCTGAGTACGGTGGTTGTACTCAGTCTTGCTATTATTCCCCCTTTTCAGAAGTGTAGTGCTTCTGAGCTGAAGATGGAGTTAGAGGACCAAGGCTCAGACCCCAGTTGAGTTTTGCCTGTGGAGTGGAGCTGAAGCCCCGCTAGGATCGCCTTTTTCCGCTGCTGTCGTTCTGTTTCGGTGTGAGGACTAAGTGCCTCTTCCGTAAGTATTTTACGCTTTATTTACGTTTGGAACTGTATATTACTTGTCGTTTTGTGTACCCTGGCTAGTCCTGGACAGGGATTTAATACGCAAAATAGTCTGAAAATTTGGGTTAAATTTCTGGGCATGACAAGTTAAGATTTACCAAACGTTCTAACGATTTTCTTCCGTTCTTGGCTAGGGACTTGCATTCTGCCTGTAAAACCGACCCTGAGACCATGTGTGTTCGGCTAGATGCCGCGCTCGAATAGAGCTGTGGCTTACCATCTCCAATTGTAGGACAACTCGACTCGTATGGATGAAAATGACTTGTGTACGGAGAAAACTGCCTCTACCACATCTATACCTAATAAAAAAATTCGTAATGCTTCCGTGAGGTTTTTTTGTCCGTCGCCGGTTTCCTGAACGCACACGCGGTTTTTTCGTCCATCTTTTGTCCATGCACAATCCTATTCGGTTAGCAATAGCCATGGAAAAAATTGCAAAAAAAAAAGGGCGGCCGCCGACGCCACCACCGCCGCCGGAGGGAGCCGCCGCCGCCGGATCCGCACGCGGATGAAGCCGACGCCATCGCAGCCGTTGGGAGGGCGCCGTCGCCGTCAAGGCCGACGGGGAGGGGGCGGGGGGGAGGGGTGGGGAGGGTTAGGGTTTTGATAAGGCCGTGGGCCGACCGGAAGGGACGGAAATAAGTCTATTTTAGGTCCCTCAGGCCGGAAATAAGTCTGTATTAGGTCCCTCAGGCCGAAAAAAAAAGAGAAGTTCATTTTTAGTGCTTCATTTTTTCAGAAGCATTTATAATTATAGTTATTAAATGTGTTTATTTCTAAGCAAACCTAAAAGGAAGGATTTTCTTTCTTTTTCCAATTAAATAATTATTAAATGATATTTGTATTATTAAAATTAGCAATTAAGTTCTGAAAATTCCAATAAAATTCCAAAGAGCGTAACTAATCATGGAGAATTTAATAAAATTAAATTTAACAATGTCATTTTATTTCTCGTACTTGCTTTACTTGTAAATTTATTTAATTATACACATACCTACTTAAAAATACCAAATATTTCAGCGAATTTGTATTTTAATTAATTTGCATATTTTTACTGATCTGTGCGCTTCCCAGTGCAACGCACGGGCACTTTTGCTAAACTAAACAACAATTTTGGTCAATATACACACTCCGTAATCACCCGGTGCAACGCACGGGCACTTTTGCTAGTTATTTTTATATTCTTTTATTTTGAAACAGAAACGAATGTGCAAGAAACAAAAAAATAAAAATTATTGAATACAGATATGGGATGAATAAGAAGCGGAATGAATACTTTCACGGATATTTGTTGGACCATAAAAACCCCTTACGAGGCTTCCGAAATCAACCGAGAGATAAAGTTCGTTTAAATTTTAACAACTCTATATACATATAGAGGTATTGTATGGACATATATAAACTAATAGTATCATTTGGTTTTATTACAATAAAGATACACAGTTACACTAGGCACCATAAAAAGCTCCAACATTAATAAGAAATATCAGGCCATTATAAACATATCATATTTGTTGACGTCGAATCACGCCATCACACCTTGAGCATGTTATGTGCAACCTGCTGTTAACAACTAAATTTGGTAACATATGTGTCAGGAAAGAGGATTTGATCAAAGCGGAGTCGGAGGCGGAGATCGGGTTCAAAAGCAGAGCAGAAATCGGCTGGAGTCCAGATCGGCTACGGTTAGGATCGGCTGGGTCTGAGTCGGGCTAAATAAGCCGATACAGCCGATTCCGACAATACGACTTGTACGCGATATCGGGTTTAAGTTAATGTACTTCAAGATGATTGCCACGCACGGATAAAGTCCTGGGAAGGCAATTGTATCTATTAATTAGGATGTTTTATGTGAATTCCTTATAGATAAATGTGGGCAAAAGTCCGCCGCAAAGACTTATGGTATCTTAGAGTTTGTTAGAGATAATAGTCGTGTCCGGTATGGGCATATCTTGTAATTCTCGGGTATAAATAGACCCCGAGCCCTATGTAATTTTTTAACACACACGTTCAATACAATCTCGGCGCATCGCCACCCTTTTTGCTTTAGTTTTGTTTCGACGAGTTCTTGCTTTCGGGTTGAGCTGCATCGGTTTCGATCTTCAACAAGAGGTAAAATTCGTTATGACGGACTGCATTCTTAGGATTAGTGCTTCCATCTTCATGACACTCTAATCTTGTTCATGTAATTCGTCGAGCTGTCATATATCTTACATAATCTCTAGCAATATCGCCACCTAATCTACTATCGGCCAATATCTGTATGCAGAAGGCAGCCGATTAGGTTAGATCTTGACGTTGATCTAGATTATATAAGATATCTACCATTTTACGAAACTTCTAGCGGCTTGATTGTCTAGATATCGTTCTTCTTTTCATACTTAATGCTGCATCAGTTGAGTTTGATCTATTAAGTCGTGCTTAGAATATCGATCTCTAGCCTGCCTTCTAGTTGCCGATTAGAATAGCATCGGAGTTTCAGCCGATCGTATCTGATTTAGCTATATTTATTCTATATGCCTCATTGATACGTTAAATATGCCCTTTATATCAAGATATTGCTGTATCTAAATATGTTAGGCCTTTGTTTGATATATTATTCTTGCTTTAATATCCTGACATAGAGTAGTATCGGAGTATTAGCCGATACATGATAGATCTACCTGATCGGCTACGCTATAAACATATATAGTCCTGTTATTGATATATATTTCGATCTAAGTGATTTATACTGTCTCGGCATGATGACCGATCTATCCCAATCACTTGATTTAAGTATACATCAATATAAGGAGTATATATCGTTAATATCTACAGCCGATCGAGTAGATTTAGTTCTTCTTTACTTATTCATGACTGCCGATCGATACACAGATGACATCGGCCCAAAGATAAATGATATGCCATCGGCATCTAGCCGATCGGCTATGATTTATAGATTTAACCACGGTTCCTTTGCTTCTATTTCTTGTTGATTACAGGATCAAATCAACTGGCACGCTAATACATCCGAAGGCGAGCTTTGGACCTGCACTGGAGTTAAGCAGATCTCCCAGGCCACGTGTTTTCTGTCAACACCCGCAGTGGTACCCGGATACACGCCACCATAGGGAGTGGTAGATGCCGCTGAATGAACATATAGGAGGGACCCCGTCAGGGTGAACGCGCGTCGTTTTGTCCTAGGCTCGGTAGGCCAGCTAGGACGTCCTCTAATACTGCAGAGACGAGAGACAACGAGCAAAAAGGAGTGATATGTAGAATATAGAGGATAGGGGTAATAGATTGATTTTGATGATTAATTGGTGGTTGTTTCAATCGGCCTTGACCCTCTATATTTATAGCAAGGGTGGTCTTGCGTCTACAGAACTCTTTGCATGTTCTATTAGGTTTTTTTTGGAAATTTTACAATCAAGGACACCCCGGATCAATGAAAGAAACATGGGGAAACTCTACTTGAATTCGGACTTTGTGCTGAATGTCTAACCGTTCAGACACCTGAGTCTGATCGGCCATACAATGGCGGTTAGATCAGTCTTCGTGGGAAAGCTTCGATTTTTTTTAAATTTGGTTTGAACTTGCTATACGTGTAAATTATTGCCAAATTTGAGTGTCAACAATATTATTGTGATAGTAGATAATATTAAGGATTTATGTTAAGTAAAATATAGAAATTATAAATACCAAAGACTCTTTAGTTTTTACTACCATGAATCTCTAGCTTTAGTTTTGATAAAATTAAATCATTTTTAAATTTGATATTAACAAATACAAAGTTGCACCCATCTTGAAATCCTAATTTATTAATTTATATTATTGTTTAAACACGGTATAGACACATGTGCCTATACACATATGCACACTCACCACTATGAATATCCATACGGATACCGTACCCATATGAGTACCTTCGAAGACTAGCCTAGCATATCTTGAGATTGATGAAGTCACCATAGATGCTTCGTTGTCGACGGATACATCGTCTAACACTAATACTGAAATAATTTATAAGCTAATTCTAAAATAGAATGAAAACAAATATACAAGTGCATGACACATAGATTTACGGTTAAATACCATTTCTAAAATAAAAACTTAGACAAATGAGTTAGGACTAGAGGTACCTAGTCTAGGTCTTTGTTTGCTATACGCTATGCAAGGAGACACTAACATATTGCTGTGGTCAGTCAAAAACTATATGATACATTTTTCAACCTGATACAGCTATGCACAGGGACTCCTCGCGTGCATATGGAAAGAGAGAGGAGCCATCAACAATATTGCATCTATAACATTCTAATTTTGTTATGCCTCTTTGCAACCCAAATTTGACTTAGTTCCCAATTTCCCATCCATGCCGTGATACATCGCAGCGAGCTATTCTGGTCAGTTTTCAGCAAAGGTTGGTCTGCAATTTTGGGGGAATTCCAGCTGTGCGTCCAATGGACGATGCAACTTCCCAGTGACCATTAAACTAGGTCATGCTGAAAGCAATCCTCTTTTGATACCTTCTCAGAAGCTACACAACAAAGACAGGCGTACCAGCTTATTTCTCTGTGCTTCCCAAGTTAGATGTTTACAGGGTTTACAATCCCGATCGGTTTTTAGCAAAAAACCGATCGGTTCTTATGAAACCGCTAGGGTCCGGTTTGCTAAAATCAAGCCTGTTTATTTATTTGTTTTTGGAGTTGATCGAAAGTCATCAGTTTTTTTTGCGGAAATCAAGCCGGTTTATCTTGTTTTTTATGGAGTTGATCGAAAGTCGTCGGTTTTGTTTGCGGTCGGTTTTCAGTAAACCAACATGACCGGGTCTCAGCTCGAAATCTGTAATGTGAACCTGGCTGTTACTGTCAATCTTCTCTCTGAAGTTAGCTGTTAGTGTCAATCTTCAGCTGTGCTGAATTAATCAATGATCCCTGAATTAAAGTTTGCTTGCGGTATTAAAAGTGCAGGCCTTACTTAGACCACTACTGTTGCCTAACATCCATTTTTTTAGGTAGTAATGACATGTCCTTTTTTACTTGGAGAAAGCACATTGGCTAGTGGAGAATTGATGCCTTCTGAAAAAGCAGTTCAATATTGTGAGAAGCAAGAATGACTAGGTGTTAATAGAAAAGATAAAGAGAGGACAAGAAAAGCAAATGGAATGAAAGAAGGAAAAAAATAAAGGAAGAGGGCATGACACACGCTAAGTATAAGCAGTCACATGAATCCTGCGTATACAATACCCATTTGCTAGTAATAAAAGTATAAATGGGTGATTTTGTCTCGGGGAAGTATAGTAAATCTCCAAAAAGGGGTCAATTTTCATGTTGATAGAATCAACATGTTCAGCTGAGATAATTTGACAAATCCAATGGAGATGGACAATCCAATTGAAAGCAGATTTCTCTGAAAAATATTCAACAAGAATTTCACCATGCATGTCACCACCACCCATAGGAGAAAACAATAAATGTTTGCGACGACGAGAGCGAGAATTCTTGTAACAAACAATAGCACTATATTTTATAGCACCTCAAATTTGAGCGTTAATACATTGTACACCATACAACCGGTTTTTTGGTCTCAAAATCCCAGCTTAGCTAGTTCTAATCCTCAGAAACTGCAGTAACAGCAGTATGCCCCTAGTCTGCTAAACGAACACTCCTTTTTGTCTCGAACTAGATCTTTTCATGAACTGATCTAACATGGACAAACCAACCCAGAATATGCAACAATGGCACTATCTGAACTGCAAAAAAGGCTTGATCTGCATCATCTGCTGTATTGGACTATTGGTACGATGACAGCTTTGCGGGCGACCTTTTGTACCTTCTGTTGAAAAATGATAAGCGAAGAATTGTTCATTAGGACTTAACTTCATCTCCTTCCTGGTCCTGCAAACCTCCTCGCCGTACCAAATATGAGAGCCTTTGTTAACAGTCCATGGTCAAACGTGCATGCCAGGGCAACTGCGCCACCTACAAGGATGACTTTGGGTATATTGCCTGTCCAGTGCTTTGGTTTCTCAGCTTCAGCGTTGTTGGTTGAACTGGCCTCTGTCTTGTCCTCTGCAGTGATGAGCTCATCAGGATCAACCTTCGTGTTGACATGTGCCATGGCAGCGCATTTTGAAAGGGGCTCGCCAGCAGTCCTTGCGATTTGGTATGCCCTCAAGCCAGGCTCAATCCTTTTGACGCAGCCCCACATCCCCTGCCGAACACCGAGCTTTGCAATTTCCCTTGGAATCCCCATTTCCTCATGATGGAACAGGAGCACCTCACATGCGGTCATTGAGCCATCACCGTTTCTTGATTCAACTGATAAAAAGAACAAGTGTTAGATTCATTGGCCTCACAAAATGTGTCATCCCGCAAAATGGAGCGATGGAACTGCAAAATTACCTGGACGGATGCACCAACTAGAGTAGTACACGTCCACACGACGAGGTTTGTTGCACCTTGGAACAGAGGGGCGAGGCACACCCTGAAAAATTATGACAAAAGTTCAATAACCTAATTCGCGCATATACGGTTAAATATTTAAACATACAACTGCTATATGTAGCTATAGATGACCAGGATGCAGCAAGTATACTTAGCACTACCAGAGGTAAAAAGGGCAAATGTAACTTCTCTTAGACTCATTCTGGAATCCACAATAGAACAAAAAGCATGCCATTATCATGAGCAACTCTACAGGCATGGCCTTGTCGGCAAACATAGGAATTTGAAAAGGACCTCATAACAGCTAATAATGCCTTTACTCACAGGACAAGCATCTCAGCCATTGTGTGGAATGGCCTGAGAATATAGTATTACCTAGACTGCAAGGTTGAAAACACATGATAAGTTTGGTTATCCGGACCTAAATAGTTGGTGGTTCAGAGAATTCATGCCTACTGCGTGCTGTAAACAAACAAAAACGGAGTTTTTTTTTCCCTTGTGCAATAGGATGATAATGCAGTATGCAACAAAATTTCCAGCTAAACAGTTGCTTGAAAGGAACTATGAGAATTGTAAAAGCAATTACAGGAACTTATGTAGGAGCATTAAATAACTTGCTAATAGAAAAAAAAAGCAGATTGTTTCGTTCTATACCTTTGTTACACAGTAATACGTCTTTCCAGATGCCCATATCCTGCGACCGATAATGTACTCCCTGTCACTGCAGAAGAACGGGAACTGCACAGCCAAGGCATATAGTATAAGCAAAAGATATAGTTTGCTGGTGCTCTGTACAAAGAATACCAGAGATATCATACGAAAAGCTCACCTTCCTGACCCACCGGAGAACCATCGTTCCAGTCTTTGTGCACTCCTCCAACGTATCGTGCTGAAGAAGCATGTCGTCCCAAGTGTTCTTAATCCGGAACTCGTCATCCCAGAAGAAATCCCTGACAACTTCTGGCGATGCATCCTCAAAGATAGTGCTACTGCGGTATTGAGGCGGGCCACCCTAGAACGAAACAAACCACATAAACTCTTTAATTCTAAAGAATTAGGGCTTAATGACCAGATATTTTCAACTATGAACTTTATTATCAGTTTATCATCTACCGTATTTCTTAGCAGTAATTCAAAACTAACACAGCAACAACAAACTTGAGAGACAATTCGGCCGGTGCTCCCCAACAAACACACAATCCCCTAAACCCGAATTTCTCGATTGTAGAATCAAGAAATATTCCTCCATGTATGTACTAGTAAGTATCCATCGAATTGAGTTCACGCCGCTGCGGCGAGATATCGATTGAATTGAATGTTCACACCGGATTAAGTAGTACTACCTCAGGATCTCTCCTCCATGCTTGGTAGCGCATCGTGGGCAGCGTCTTGTCCATCATGTGAATCCACGCCGGCCCGCCGTCCTTCTCCTCGACAAGGCGGCGGAGGTGCATCAAATCTCCGGTGTCGACGGCCAATCCCTCATCCTCCTCCGGCGCGGCGGCGGCCATCGCAGTTCTGCATCCACACCCACCACAGTATCAGTAAACAAACCAGATGTCCACTCGAATTCACCCAATCGAGGCTCGTTTGATTTCTGAAACACCATAAACCCTCACCTAGGAACGGCGGCAACTAGCTCGTTCTTGCGGCAGGAGTCCTCGGCGGCGGCACGCGGCGGCGGCGGCGCCTCCCCGACGACGACGAGGGCCCAGCGCGGGCGCCACGCCCAGCCGATGAGTAGGCCGACGAGGGCGGCGAGCCAGAGCGGCGCGGCGAGGGAGGCGAGCTCGAGGGCGACGCCGCCGAGGGTCGGCTGGCGGAAGACCCCCATGAGCAGATCGAGCAACGCCGACATCTCGCTTCTATTTTTCTTTTTTGAACTAATCACACACACGCCTCAGGAATTAATCAAGGAGGAAGAAAAGATCCGATTTATCCTCGTCGTCGTCCGCCCAAATTCTGAATCCTGAATACAACTAGTACAAGAGCAGCAGCAGCAATCTGACAATCCTCCTACTGGTGATGCAATCTGAGAAGAATTTTCCAAGACGCGGAAGAGTAGAGGTTTTTGGGCCTAGATGATGATGAAATCAGTGTGTGTCTATTGGCACCAAAATCTCTCTCTGGCGCTCATGGCGTCTGTTTTTGCTCGCTGGAGCTCACTGGACCACTATAAGCAAACGCAACGCAACAACAAGCACAAACACCAAGCGATCGAGAGGAGGGGAAAAAATCAGGGAAGAATCCAAAACGGCGGAGGCGAGTAATGTGCGGTGGAGAAGCGTCTGCGTGGGGGATAAGGAGGCTCCCAGCCACCGATCGATTCCGATGGATTTGATCTGATGGAGAAGAAGAAGACAATGGAGAATTGGAGATGGAGGAGGATATGCCGGGGGATCACCGAGGTGATAAATACCGTGTGTTGGGTTGGGTCTGGCTCGTGTTTGTTGTGGTTGTGACCGTGTGGGGTTAAGACGTAAGACGTGTGTGTGCGCGCTGACCGGGCGACCGTCCACAAGGAAGGAAGGATACTGGACGACGGTGTGTGTTTCTTGGTAATGGGTCACCACCATCGATCATCCATCACACTACTAGTACTACGATGGAGTATGTACGACGCCCACCGTCCGTCCATGGAATTGACCCGCACGCACACCCGCGTGCCGGCGTGGAACACGTATAGGGCCTTATTTATACTTGGGTTGAACGAGTCCTAGCTACTAGTATCAGTCTGTGCATGCACAGCACGGCTGTTAAAACTTGGGAACTTCCTTCTTGCCATTGGTGCCATAGGACATTGGTGCCATAGGATTATGTTTTATTTGTGTACTTTTTATCTTGGGTTAGCAGTCATTAGTTTATTTCTGGTTGATGGTTGGTTTCATCTTTTAAGGCTGTGTTTAGGATCCCGGCACACAAAACAATATTTGTATTAACACGTAATTAATTAAATATTAGATTTTTTCCCCCCTAAAATGGATCATTATGATTTTTTAAGCAACTTTCGTATATAGATTTTTTTTTAAAAAACACACCGTTTAATAGTTTGAAAAGCATGCGCGCGGAAAACAAGGGTGAGGAGTTGAGAACTCCCAGCAAAGAACTGGCCTAAGTTTCTTTCAACTTCACTTATTTTAGTGTGAGATTGTAATAATTGGCTATAACTCTTTGAGCAAAGGCCGGAATGCTCTATTCCATTATCTAAAAAGAGGATTACGTTTGATTTCATACTTACATAATACTCCCTCAAAGCTTGATTCATATTATAACTTTTTATTTGACTCTTTTTTTAAATTAAACTTATTTAACTCTGAACGAGAATGACTCCATAAAAATCGTGATAGACGAATCCTAGGCTACCTAATACTCCCTCCGAACTGATAATACTTGTCTTTTTAGACAAGGATGAGATCAAACTTCAGAATCTTTAATTGTGAATCATTTTAAAAATATTTATCTTTCAAAGATGGTGACTACATGCATATATTGGTCTTTAAAAGCACTTTAATAAAATCACATATTTGTTAACACTCTTATTAATGGTCAAAGTTGTTTTTTAGAGACCATGCCCTTGTCCAAAATGATAGTAAGTATTATCAACCCAAAGGGATCGTATATCGGAGTGTATTTAGAGCAAGTTTAATAGTATAGCCAACTAATAGCTCTAATTTATCTATAGCTAATCTAATAGCTCATTTATACAATAGATACATACTACACTATTAATACTTGGTCCCACTAGTCATACACACATTGTGTCTTGGAGTCCGTGCTACAGCTGACTATAAATCTGTAGCCTGCTGCTCTTTTCTCTCCTCATTTATCTTCTTAAAATATGTTTGCAACTGGCTTTTAGCCTGCTATTGTACCTGCTCTTACAAAGAGAGATGCTATACATACGATTTTTCATGTACGACACTCGTACGACGTAAACGTTTCCCAATGCAAGCCTGTGGCGTTTTTCAGTCATTTCCCGGCGATGCACCACACCATGTTCACCATCCGTTAATAATCGTATATGAATTGCACGTACAAGTCATATGCATACTATTTTCGATTTACAAAACACCCTAAAAAATTACTACCATGTAGGAATGTTAACGGCGTAAGTTTATAGTATGAACTAGAGATTACGGCGTAAGTACTGAAATTTGCACTAAGTTTTGAAAGCTACAATGTATTTTGTAAATTTAGTGTAAATGCATATTATTTATTGTTTAAAGAATGATTTTTTTCTTTGAAAAATGTGGTGCCATAAATGGCAATATAGCTAGAGTAACAGATCAAGTCTATCTCATTATTTCATATTATAATTAATTGTCTCTTACAATATTGGCGAGGCAAACCATTTCAAAGGTATTTTTTATTTGCAGATTATAAAACATAGTATTTTAGGATAAGACTTTTGTATTTTATAATTTCAATAAAACTTTTATATTCTTACAATCCAAAAGTCAATACCAAGAAATCAAAAACAAAGTAAAAACTATATTAATTCAAAATTCATCTCTAAAATACATAACCGAAGCTGCCACTAAAGTTTTCTCCTTTTTATACACCACGCGTGTTTGGTTCTTGATTTCACTATCCCACCACCATTATTTAATGGAATCTTTACAACTCCAACTTTGTTTAAAAAAAGCCTACCGTCCACCCCAGCTGACGAAGACGAGATGAAGAAGAAGAGAAGAAGCACGTTTTGTTTCTTTTATTTGTGAAATTTGCGCGTGTGTTGAAATTGTGTGTTTCCTAAAAGGGGAAGAGTACAAGTCCAAATCACTCACACGCATATAATTTATTTAATATTTTAAAAAGTACTCCTACTCTGTGATCATCGGTACCAACATGGCGTGGAATTTTAATGACCGCAGATACGTATATAGAGTAGGGTTGTGTTTAGATCCAAAGTTTAGATCCAAATTTCAGTTCTTTTTCATCACATCAACCTATCATACACACACAACTTTTCAGTCATATCATCTTCAATTTTAACCAAAATCTGGATCCAACTAAACACAACCTAGCTAGCTTTAGCTTTTTCGTCCGTCCATTCGTCCAGCAGATGTGCTTAATTAATTAAGTTTAGCTGCCTGCAGCGTGTGAAAGTGAAATTTAGCAAAGCAATTAACTGTGGCCACAGTATGGGTGGCAGACTGGCAGTGAACGAGTACTACAGGTCTCTACACGAGCGTTCTTGTATGCATCCGTACGTTTTGTTAACATTAATAGAGTACCACAATTAATAATCAATTTTGATGTATTATATTTTATATAGTGGAAATTTTATATCTTCTACATATATGTGAGACCTTAATTAATTTGTTGGCTTTGGGTTTTATTTTTAAGAAACATAGTATAAACGCAGACGCTCATAACGTACACACACTCATCTAAACACATACGCACACCCTATCTCTATGAGTATATCCGGAAAACTGGACCGGCATATATTTAGCACGCTATGGTATTTTTTAGCTCTGAATGGCTTCTTGAAAAACTTTTTCATCTTCAGCACTGCTTAGATAAACTTTTTCTAATTTATTTGTTAGCTTGACAATGTATAATATTTAACTAAAAAAATAAATGGATGGGGTAATCGGATAATCCGGCCCAATTCATCTGTTTCGAACGAGATGCACTGGCAATAATTCGTTTGTAAATAAAAAGTTAACGAGACAAAAAGATGATATTTTGTATCCTCTATGGTACTCCGCCCTATCAGAAGCATGTTTTATATCGTCCATATGTTACTTTTTTTTCTTTAGAACTTGCATATTTTACTGTTGTGTGCAGATTTCATTCTCTTTATTAGTAGCGTGTCATCTCAAGCTGGTTCTCAGCTTTATTACACTTTTACAGTGTACTATGTAAGGCTTCATTCCTTCTTGGAAAAAGTGCACCCAAGGTCCCTCAACTTGTCATCGAATTACAAAATCATCCCCCAACCATAAAACCGGATATCTGGCGTCCCCTAACTAACCAAAACTGGTCATAATAGGTCCCTCAGTGGTTTTAACCCCGTTTTTGTCCTATGTGGCGGCTGACTCAGCGTGGGACTCACGTGGACCCCACGTGTCAGGCTGCCACATCAGCACATACTCTATTTCCCCCTCTTCTCTCTCTGTCTCTGTGTTCTCTCCTTCCTTCCTCCCCCTCGCTCTCTGCTCTCGCACGAGCGGCAACGCGCGCGGCCGGCGACGGTGGCTCCCAAGTGGCGGCGCGTGGGCTCGCCGGCCTCCCCGTCCCCCTAGTGCGGTTGGTGATGGCGGCGTGCGGCTGCGTCCATCATGTGGAGATCGACTCGACGACGCCGCCATCAAGTCGCTGCCGTCGGGCGTCGGCGATGGCGGCGCATGGCTGCGGCCAGCGGGGGAGGCGGAGGAGGTATAAGCGGACGCCCTCGCCCTCATTGTCGATGTCGACACCAATGAAGAGGTCCGCGCCGCTCACCAGTTCGCATGCCTCGTCGTCGTCGACGCTCGCCACTCCGGTCCGGCCGTGGCCCAGCGGACAAGCGACGAGAAGCCGGCGGCGCGGCGCCCCCGCCGCGGACGAGCGACAAGAAGCCGGCGACGTGGCGCCCCCACCCGAAGCCGCCGACGACGATGAGGCCGAGCGGCGTGGAGTCGTCGGGGCCGCCGCTCCCCATCCCAGCCGCGCACGCCTACTGCTGCTGCGGCCGCTGCCTCTCTGCCACCGCGAACGCCCGCCGACGCTGCCTTGCCCTGCCGCTGCCCTCCCCTTCCCCGCCGCTCATTCCCCGTCGACCGCGCGACCCTCTTCGCCGCTCCTTCTCCTCTCCGCCTCTCCTTCCCCGTCGGCCGTGCCGTCCCTCTTCCCTGCTGCATCGGTGATGCCGCCACCACCACCGCATCTGCCCTCCTCTCCGCCGCGCTCCTCCCTCACCAGCCGCCAGCCGCCTCACCCCGACGATGACGCACGGTCACGGCAATGGCGCCGGGCGGCACGTGGGGGAGGAGGGAAGGCAGACGACCACCGGTCCTCCCCGCGTGACGGCAGCCATCGGCGGCGCTCGCCTTCCCGTCCCGGTCTCTCGCACCGTCCTCGATTTGCTCCCCTCCCCTTCCCCTGCCGACCGCCGTTCCCATCCCCACCCCCGCCGCTGCCGCCGCCCACCTCGCCGTCTCCACGCCCGACTTCGACGCCGCGGTGGGGGCACTCTTTGCGCGCCTTAGCAGCCGTGCGCGCCGTGCGGTCGAGGAGGGTGGGGCCGCCGCACTCGCCTCCGACGAGGCCGATGCCGTGCTGTCACCGCCGTGTCGCCCGCCGCCATTCCTCTGCCTCGTGGGCCTCGTGGGCGGCGGCCGGCGGAGGAGCCCGCGCGCCGCTCCTCCCCCCGTGCGCCGCTCCTCCCCCCACGTCGCCCGTCGCCGGCTGCTGCCA